ACTAATTTTGTAGCAATAAATTTCATAATTTTTTTTGGATTTATTTAATTACTTTATGGAAGTGGTTTCAAACACTTTCGGTCATTCTAAAATCTTTAAATTAGTATTCTATTATAAGTTAACTTCTTGGAAGATGAGGTCGAGGGGCACCCTTCCTGCAAGAACTTGCACTTCCTCATGAGATGAGAACCATCGCCCTGTCGTGGCAGGGGTTGCAAACCTTAGAATATCCACAATCATGTGATCTTATAATATATTGGAAACCTTTTGCTCTACAGAGCCTCAAGCGGTCGCCCCCCTCCCATCCTTCCCCTGGCTTTATTTATGATTTTTTTCAGTATGAATTTCGGATATTAATCAGTCAGTTCAGCACATTTGAGCATGTGCTCATCATGTGTATGAAAGTATTAGACATCTGGGAATCTAATTCAAACACTGTATTCATCCTTGGAGATAAACCATCAGATTTACCATATTCCGAGATATCATTTGATAGAGGGGTGCTCAGAAGAAGATTCCATGACGCAAGTTGCACCATCAAAAATTTTTAGGGGGTACATTTTGAATTTTTGAGGAGCACGTTTCAATGTAGTTATGAATTTCCTACATGAAAAGTTTCAACCAGAGGTCAAAAGAAAATCATGGAACAGACCGCAACAAGTGTAATTCTTTATCATCTACGGTACTTTTAATTCTACTGTTATTAAAAAATGAGATCAGTAAAATATCTTGGACGAATGAAGGGGAGAGGTTCATGCGACATCGATCTTGAGGGGGACGGATCGGGTATCCTTGATTTGATATCATTACAGCACCTTCTGATCCGAAACATAAACATTAGAATTTGCAAAGATATTACACTTCCTAAAGTTTTGTACGGATACGAATATAGTTTTTGAAAATAAAGTATTTTAATATTTGGACCGAAGAAGGGCGTGTTAACCGAAGAATTTAAACTATATACCCAATATTCCTTTGTGCACCCGAAACCTTATAGTTAAAACCTTAAACCATCAATGCCCTTTTCCTTCTTTTTGTAATAACTATAGTTGAACAAGAAATCTACGACATAATCCGAATGTCTACATGTTTAATTGAACAAAATGAACAGAAAACTGAGAGCATGTTACTGCATTATGAAATAATTGATTATTTTTGGAGTAATATTTAATTTATTTTTTATTTTAATTTTGAAAAATAAAAATTGACTGCGGAGTAGCTCAGTGTGTAAGACGCTATTATATACTTCCATTTTCAAGGCTCTCAAATCGAGTCTGGCTCATACAAATAATTATTCATTCTATTCCATCACCTGGATTCAACTAAGAGATCCTCCTTGGGCACAATAATTCTCTAATGCGTTTGCCATTAATTAGTTAATTGAAGAAGGGAGATGTTTACAATAATTTGGAACACAAATCCGTGGTACAATCTTTTTTTTTTTTTAACAAATATTCATACACTTTACCAACATCCGAATGACACTCTGAAAACATTTAAGTAATTAATCAAACTTTTTGAGGACACTAGTGAGGGAAAGTAAAAACATCAAGTAGCTATTTACATGACTCTCACGTAAAAATTTTGTTTACAACGCTACGAAAAACAAACTTTCTTATCCTTGTGAAAGTCATGTCTAATTGTAAATCAATACAATTGTATCTGATAATGTTTTTGTACAAACATAATATCGACAAATATAACCAATAAAACAACTATACTCAACAGGAAAAGTCCAAAAAAGCACAAAAGAGAATATAACTCTTTTAGCGTATTAGAAACATCCTTGTGAAAAATTCCCTTCCTCTCCCCTTCCCCCAAAAAATAATATATATATGTATATATAAAATGATATATAATTATATAAAACGATATATAATTATATATATAATAAAATGATATAATGAAATGCTTATAGCAGTGAATAAATGAATTATAACAATAATCTTCCATCTTTTTGTCTGAATTTCTTCTATTTGATTTCCCTTTTCAAATCTTCACCAGGCTGTTCTTTTCAATCTTTGGCTAACATTAGTTTTTCCACACACCTCCTCTGCTGCTCCCAACAGTATTATATAGCTGATTTATAATTATATACTTTATTTGCTTATAATAAACATAAATACACATTTTATTTATTAAAAACAATTATTTTTCAAGTATTTATCATTTAAAGCAAGAGTCTACAAACCGTTTGGTTACATTGAGATCTTCACAAAGTCCCACAGGCCGCACTGATACCTCCACCCAGGGGTACCCCCTTATAATATTAAATTCATTAATAATATAAGGCCTTCAGTTAGCTATTTAATCAGAAAATTAAGTATATAAATGAACAACATTGAGAAAATTTATGATTGATCTTTTTTAATTATTAAAGAGGAGGTCATCAAGAACAAATTTAGTATCACATTTCTGCATTAATACATTTCATTAGCTAATTACAAAACATCTCTCCTGTGTTGAACTAATACTTGTTTATAGGGCAATAAACATATTACCTTTAGGGTCCATATCTCTTGGTTATCGTAATAGTAGCCATAACGACAATTACGTATGGGAAGGGAAGTTAGGAATATTTACAAAGATTATTTTGTTTAAAAATAATAAAACGACTCGTTGTGAATGACTCCTTTCAGGAATTACCTGTATTTTGTTTGTCTATTTCTTAAAATTTCATTTTGAGTCAAGCATCTTCATATACTCCAGCTACTGAAAGGATGAAACTAAAACACTAAACTATTCAAGGCATGGTGAAAAGGGATCGCAAGATTTGCGAAATCGCCAGGCAAGAGAAAAAAGTTGTATATTGTTGGATATTATTTTAAATTCTAGGTCGTTTAATGTTTTTGTTTTAATAAATTTATCGATTACTACACTGAATAGAAACAAAATTGGTTTTGCTTTAATGAAGGATACAGCGAAATTGATTTGTGGTAAGGAAATAATTGGAGCCCTACATAAGAGCAGTGTAGTTGTTCAATGAATTAACTTTGTATTTGTAAAAAGAAAACTTGAGCGATGTATGAGATAAAGGAGCGATGCAATGAAGAAGGTGGTTGAACGCATGAGGACAACTTGGACAGACTTAAGAAAAAATTGGAATCAGATTTACACAAAAAACAAAAGGACAGATCCCGAAAGATTGGGAAATACTCCTTCCTGTTCTAATATTTAAGGAGGAGGATACAGAGATTGTAACTATCCTCAATGTTATATCTCTCTAAAGCATTCCAAGATCCTAGAGAATAGAATAAGAAAGAATTCGATGGATTGCTTGTAGAGGAACAATGTGATTTTTATGAAAATTAATTTTCTAAAACCTTATTTTAGCCATGAGGCAGGTCTAAAACAAGTATTCAAATATATATAAGGAAATATGGATGTGTTTGTTGATCTTACAAGAGCTTTGCATCGAGTAATATCGATAGATATCTAAGAGACCTTAATTGAATAAAAAGAGAGGCTAAAAGTTCCTTCTATTTAACAGTGAATCCTGAACTCACTTTTGCGGTACGAAAAGCATTAACATCTAACGACTCGAAACAGCGGATTTACCCCTTCTATTATGTAACACAAACATTCTTAGCTCACGCAATTTGTTATATAATGTCTTATATCTTTTGATTATTTTCTTACTCTCGCAACATGACTGGTCCAGACATTAAAGGGGGTGGAGTCTTTTAGGGAGCGCCTTCTGGGACCTCAGATACCCAACCACCATGGCTATCTACAGAGTACTCCTCTGATAGTAGTCATAGAGGGTATCCTGATGTATGCACCCACTTCTGGAACCCAACCCTAACACTGCTACAAAGGAATGGGCATTGAATGGTTCTGCCGTGGGACACCAGAGTCTACGAAACAATATCACATGAATTGGTTCAAGCCTTGGCAGAAGTGTCCATCTATCAACCTCCTATGAGAAATGACTAAATATTTATATAACAGAGAGGGTACGACAGTAAATTTTAATTTTTATATTGCTGTAATCTATTTAATTAAAAATAAAATAAAAGTTCGCGGAGACCGCCCGTTTACCATTAGTGGCTACAGGTTCCTCACCTCTGTTATTAGCTCAACATATATAAAAATCGAGGTCGCTTCGGTCGTTCCATCTACACCACATCCCACCTGTCAATCTTACCTCTTAATAGAATGGGCTGAGTTTTGACAGCAACCATCCTCAACTTCTTTCTATCCCACCATACTCCTAATAGATTGGTGCACCTTTCAGCTTCATTTTTCAACTTGAGTGCTGTTTGAGGCTATAACAACGGCCAGATCTTTTACATAAGCCATGACAGGGAACTGCTACTGTTTCAGCACACCCAGCAGCTTATTGAAGACCAATTTCTACACATTTGGACCAAGAAGAGAACTCTGCGTATCTTAAAGAAGCTACCAACCAAGTATCTTCAATGTTCGGTCCCAATGGTAGCTTCTTTTCTTGTTTTTTATTTTATTTTTTGCTTTATGTGAGGACACATTAGCCAATACACCAATCATAGGTAGCTTATTAAAAAGTTTTTAAGTTACTGAAACCTCAGTCTTCACAGATATTTTTTTTTTTTTTTTTTTATCAAACAGTTATTTTATTATATATTTTTTAACTCATACCTCATGAATGGAAATACGAAAGAATACCACATGAGTCTGAGAAACAGTTTAATAATGTTACTGATTAAATCATTACATAGTTGAAGGAGGTTTGGATTCCAGGTTAAACATTAACATTTCTTTTTCAATTCTTGATCCCCACCTGAACAGGAGTAATGGATCAAAACAAATAATCAGCGGTCATCTAAATATTAAAGATTATTTTGATCTTGTTACTTGCAATATTAAAATTAACTGTAGCAAAAATGTTTGTGTGTTCTTTTGACAATATGTAATTTATTTTAATGGATTAATTTCTTTAATTAAATTAATATTAATTTGTATATGTCTATTTTATAATGAATGATATTTAATGTATTAAATACATTAATTTGGAATAGGAAATACTTGAAATGTGTGCTGATCATTTTATTGCTGCTTGTGTTGGGAATAGTGGTCATCCTATGCTTCCTCTTAACGCCCTTTTCTTCTGTTGTCATTTCGGAAGATGATAACACAAAATGGATTTACCCAGATCCTGTAGTTGCGAGGGGTGCTATTGCCAGCAATGGTGGACCTTGTGCTGCCATTGGACAGTAAGTATATTATATTTATGTGGTATAGTTGAATAATGTAGTTATTTAATTCTTTAATATTCTTCGTTACTCCAGTAAGGATAGTAAAAGCATACCTACAGCTAATTTATAATGCAAGGTGCCTCAGATATTATCAAAAACATTCTCACAAAAATGCTTAATTTTACTTAATCCAATCAACAAGCTTTCAGGATAACAATAATGTTTGTCAGTAAAATCCAAATTAATTGTAAAGTACAAATGAAAATGTGAGTACCAATAGCTCTGAATCAATATATTACCAAATAAACATTTGTTGTTATTTTAGGAAAATTATGAAGAAATATGGTAATGCTGTGGATAGCATAATTGCGACGATGCTTTGTGATGGTCTTACTTGTCCATATGCTATGGGAGTAGGAGGTGGTTTCATAGCAACTTTATACCTGAAGAGCGAATCTAAAGTGGTAACAATTATTGCCAGGGAGACAGCACCTGCTGCATCAACTGCCGATATGTTTGTTAAAAATTTCACGTTAGCCCAGAGAGGTAATTTTTTTTTTCTTAAACTGAAAGATTACAATGACCGTTAGTAAGAAATATTTTGTATCTTTGCTTAAGAGATTGAAAACTTTATTAGGTGGTTTAGCAGTGGCTGTTCCAGGAGAGTTGAAAGGTTATTGGGAGCTATATAAGAAGTATGGAGGCAAAGCCCCTTGGAAAGAATTGTTTACTGATTCTATTAAATTGTGTGAGGAGGGTATCCCTGTAAGTAAACGTCTAGCTGATGAAATAATGAAGAACAGAGATGAAATTTTGAGAAATCCTGGGTTAAGGTGATGATTTATTCTTAATTAATCCCATTCTTCCTCACTGAATTTTTATTAAAGATAATAAAGTTGTATTTTTATAGATCTTTATTTATTCCAAATTAAATTTAAAACATATTTAAACTTTAATATTTACATATAGTAGGGATCGGTTCATCCAGCCTCATATTATAGTGACCATAGCTTCAACTTATATAGTTTCAGTAATTTTAAAAATTGGGTTATATTCACTAGCTTTTTTTAGATATATACCCTATGCCATGGTCAATAAGTTATACTACTACTAATTTTGTAAATTCCAAATTACAGGAAAGCATTTGCAGAGTATAATTAAATTTCTAAAATCAGGAGATGGAGAAAAAGGTCTATAACTTTTACTCCCCTACATTAATTTCTAAGAGTCTGATAGTTTAAAGCAATAATAAACTTTTCCAACTTAGTAGTTGATTAACATATTTATTTCTTCTGGACCGAATTATTCACTAATTCATTGGGGCACAGTTATATGAACAATTTGGCTTTGTAGTACCTGAGATTAGTTTGGCAATTAATTAATTTGTTGGTCCTTGTATAAAAAGTTCTTTTTTAACAATTTCTGTGAAAAAAATTTTAAAATAAAAATTGTAATTAACTTTTTTTTTTAAACGTAATAGGTTTATTGTAAAAGTTTAAGTTTTATTTAATTATGTTCTTAGAAACATGTTACAGAAATAAAAACTAAACAGTAATTGATTTCAGATTACAGTAATAAATTAAGTTAAATGAATAACTTTGTTCTAATAAGTGATTTGTTTGTGTAGCTAAGAACATGTCATTTTTTAGGTAAACTTTTTGGCAAAATTAACAGCACTTTCATCTAAAGTTATTTATTTTAATTTTATTTTTTTAAATAGTTCTGTAAATAATTCCAAGTAGCTTTTACTTAGAAATTTGAAATAACAGCAAAAAAAATTTAAATTCCAGTCAGACCAAAACTGATAAAAAATAAAATTTAAAGCTTCGTTCCAATCACTAATAAAAAACCGTTCATTTATATATTATGTTTTTCAACTTCAGAAAGAGGTTAGAAAACGATAGAGGAGAACTCGCCCAATTGGGAGATGTTATTAAGCTACCAACATTAGCCAAGACATTTAGAATAATAGCAGAAGACCCTAATGCACTCTATAATGGTTCACTCACTGCTGGGTTTGTAAAAGATATTCAAAATAATGGAGGGATCATCACTATAGAAGACATGAACTCATACAGGTAAGTTTGAATTTTCCTTATTTGTATCATCAATAATCCAATTCTAAGCTCTATTCTATTACACAGAAGAATTTAATACAAAAGATAAATATTTCTCCAGTCTCTGTATAAATGATGTAATTAAATGTAATTTTGTACTATTCACGAAAATATTTTTTATTAAAGTTTTGAGCCAATTTACAACCAGTTTCCTAACTTTTCTAGATACTAAATCTCATTATTTTTTTCCATAAGCTATTGTGAACACTTTCATAAGCTAACACGGATTTAGTATTTTCCATATTGTTAAAAAAATCTTTTTGTCAACTTTAGTAGAATTGTATATTATTATTTAGTTATTGAGCAAAGAGAAATTGATATTTCCAATTGTTTACCTTAGAGCCTCTAATATACATAATAGAAACATCTTATAATACATAATAGAAACATAATAAAAGCCTCTCTAACTCTAGTATAATGTAATAACTAGCCAATAGTGAATCATCGTCAATTAAGAATTACAGATAAAATAAATTTATATATTAAAAAATCAATTTAATTAAATTTTGGAATTATTTTATAGTTATCCTGAATAAAATTCAGAGTAGAATTAGCAAATACAATCTAAAATTTCTATATATGAAAGTGTTATTGAAAAATAGTAAATTAATAACAAAATTGGCTAGAAAGGAAGAATGTAGTAAAAGATTAACTTTTTATATGATCATCCGAAATCTCAAATAACTGACACATTATTACTCATGATAAAATTTTCAAATTAATAATAATACACAAAATGAGAAAAATCAAAAATATATTAAACATAATATGGAACAATGCTCAAAATCATTTTATAAAATGACATATGTCCCTGATTAACAGATATTTTTTAAAAATAATTTCAACCTATTGTAACTGTAACTACAGTAGTGAAAAAGTCCTAATAAAATTACAACCTATGACCTCAGAAATATAAAATTAGACCTAGGTACCTTAGTACCTAGGTACCTATTTAATAATAATAAATTAAGTAAATACATGAAAAATATAAAGGAAAGAATAGACTATCTCGATAATAACAACACATCGACAACAGTCGAATGTGAAAAAAAAATTGTACAGGTGATACATTAAAAAAAATTAAAATTAGCTTTTCACAACATATATAAGGTTGACAAAATATTAAAAACATAAAGTCCTCTGCACTTACATGTCACAATATCAAATGGTAGCAGAAATTTAGCTTTGAAAAATCCAAAATAATTAATAAAGCACCTTAAACTATGAAATACAAATAATGGAAGCATTTTTCATATTGGCATTTCAATGATAATAATATAAAACAGTTAATTACAAAGCAGTTACTAAAAAGTTAGGAACTATTTAATGAAATTAAAACATAGTTAATACAAATAACCAAAGTTAACAATTTAAATATACTAATATATTGATTGGAAATTGGTTACATTAAAACTTTGTAAATTACTAAAAACAAAAATTAGAATAAAAAGTTGTCATGCAGAATACTGGAATTGGATAAAATTCAAATGAGATATTCCAATCAAGTACTTGAAAAATAGTAATCAATAGTTCATATCCAAACAAATATTATCATGTGACAAGATGTTATTTTATATTAATCAAATGACAAAGCCATTAGAAAATATATATTTCATGTTATTTAGAATTAACTAATGCTAAATTATGATTGTATAAAAGTATTTTAAAGAATGAATTGATACATTATTAGATGTAATTTGAGAGAGGATGAGTCATTGATCTGAGGTTTGAGCCACTCCCTAAAACATTAACATTCTTGTATGTTGAAGAGAGTGGAGGATTAGAAATAGTTAATTTTTGTACAATATTAAATAATAATACAGACTTCTTAATAAATTTGAAACAAATTTATTAATATTCACAGCAAAATGGTATGAAAAATATTCTATAACATTTTTGATTACTTATTATTTGATGAATTTGTTCTTCAGAATAATCTTTTAATTTAGAGTTCGTTGGGAGGAACCTGTTCACCTGCAATTGAATTCAGGACTCAATGTTTATTCTGCTGGACCACCTGCTTCAGGCCAATTACTTGGTTTCATGTTGAGAGTGTTAGATAACACTCTTAAGCCAGATATGGATTCAATTACAAATATCTCTATAATTACTGAAACATTCAAGTATGCTTATGCTATGAGATCTCACTTTGGAGATCCATACTTTACAAATATCAGTCAGGTAAGACAATTATAAAGTCATTTTTTAATATATAAATTATTTAAATTGTAAAGCCTATACATTAAATGTGTGTATATATATATATATATATATATATATATATATATATATATATATACAGGGTGTACCATACATAAGGGTGTACATAATACCTCATACATGGGTTAAGCCATTCTTCTCTTATGCATTGTTTTCAGATGACCACATCAACGTAGCCTGTTTTCCTCTATAGTATTTTCTACTGGTTTTATTCCCAGATTGCTTCTTATCGTTGTATTTCTAATTTTGTTCCTTTTAGTTTTTCCCTCTATTCTCTTCAGAAACCGCATTTCCATTGCTTGAATTTGACTTTTGTGCTTTGATTCAATGCCGTAGGTCAGTATGAGGACAAATGTAGTTTTATATACTGTTTTCTTAACATTTTTCAACACTTCTCGTTTCCCCAAGACTCCTGCTTTTAGTGAATAGAAGCATTTGCTGGCCAGTCTTATTATTTTCCTAATTTCTCCATCTATCCAGCCGTTCTCATATAGATGAACTGGCTCCCAGGTACTTAAAATCTCTGGTGTTCCAGTTCCTCTTCCTTCAATCGAAGTACTTGGTGTCCCTTCTTCTCTCATCTACCTATTCACATTACTATTGTTATGTTGATGTTTATTTTCATGTTAAGCAGTTGTAATTCTTCCTTCAGGACTCAGAGGTTGTATATTTCTTGACCGGGCAGCCAATTAAAAGCTGGCTTTCAAATCTATAAATGCAAGACAAACACCATCTCATGTCTTCTATTATAGAACTTCTTGGTGACCATTCTAAGAGAAAAAATATGGCCATGGTCTAAATGCAGTCTGCTTCTAAGATTATGCATGAATAAACACTGAAAAGTACTGGAAGAAATTCTCAACGTAATTGGCACAGGGTTCAATTTTGATATATCATTTTGGCCTTCAAATCTATCTGTCATTGAATATGTATCATTTGAATTAAGAGTGAATAATTAAAAATAGCAAGAATCCATGCAAATAATCCATAGAAAATGATGCAGAAAAGGGTTTATGAAAACATAAATTGAACAATGAACCAACTGATGATCGAATTATGACATGAAAATCATAGCTGTGAACTTCAATGCAAATTTAGTTTGAGAAACTTTCTACTTCCCAACAATTGGGCTGTATAGTATCCATCAGGAGGCTAACATTAATGTACAAAGACTCGTTGGGTTACCTGCTTCTAGAGACTTGACATTTGGAATCAAATTCTTTCCTTATAAAAATATGTAATAAGTTGGACATATAACTTGAAGATCCCCAGATGGACAAAGAGTTAATCAAATTTACCATTTCCTGATATCATTCTGAAACTGCTAAAATATTCTCAAACCTCATCGAAAAGTAATGGACTCTATCAGATTCTTTTTGCTGAAGAATCAAAGCTTAGAAAGGGTCTTAAAACTCAATACTAATAAAAGAGGAATCCTCTGTGTAATACCGATTTAGCCTAGAGTAACATCTCGAACTGATTCTCACCTCAGAACTTGGTATGGATGACAATTGGACTGTGATTAGCAGAGCCATGACAGATAGTGAAGAGGAAATATTCAGACTATAACAGTCATAACATCTTCCAGGAGCACACCCAGCATCTGGAAAGTAGGTACTCTTAATTAAATAATTAAGGGGAAAAGCCTGGCTGTTGAGAATGATCTCGGTCAAATCACCTCATTAAACAGTAGTTGACCAAAATACAGTTCCTTACAAAGTACTGAAACCAAAACCCTTCATGTCTTTGAAATTACTGAACCCAAAACCACTCATGAGTTATCGTGGTACAGATTATTTTTTTTTCAATTATTATTATTAAATTGTTTCGTAATAAGTATTTATATATTACAGATTCTTCAGAAGATCAATGATCAAGTTTTTATTGATAAGGTTAAACAGGAAATATTATTAAATAAAACTAATAATAACCCAGCACACTATGGAGCCCAATATTATGGAAAAGAGGATTTGGGGACAGCAAATATTGCAGTAATTGCTCCAAACGGTGATGCTATTTCAGCCACAAGTACCATTAATACTGAGTAAGTCAGCTTTATCTATGATATAAATCAAGGTATTCAAAGAAGAATTATTTTAAAACTATTTTCTGATTTTATTTTATAGAACAATTTCTTATAGTGGAAGAATTTTGAACCAATTTATGATTATAATCTTTATAAATACCTTATTCTCTTATAGATTTGGAAGTTGGATTGTATCAGAGAGTACTGGCATATTATTAAACAATCAAATGGATGATTTCTCAACACCTGGTTTAGTGAATAGTTTTGGAGTTTCTCCATCAGATACAAATTTTATTAAACCAGGGAAGCGCCCTCAATCATCAGTTTGCCCTACCATCTTGGTTGATAAAAGTGGTGATGTTCGTTTGGTTGTCGGTGCAGCAGGTGGAACAAAAATAACAACAGCAATTGCCTTGGTTAGTATCCTACAAAATTAATTGAATTTAAGCCTAAAAGGAAGTAATGACCTATATAATAAATTTTCAGACAATTATTCAAAACATTTGGCACCACAAATCCATTGTTGAGGCTGTAGATCTGCCAAGATTTCACCACCAACTTATGCCGATGGAATGGCGCTATGAACCATTAATGCCAAAGGTAAATAAGTTAAATTAGTAAGTTCACATACTTGTACCTTTCATTACTTTAAACTTTTATGACGTTCTCCATGGGTCACATTGCCATATTGGATTTGTGGTCAAACTTGGAAGTGAAGTTTAACAAATTACATGTATTGATAATATTCCATCGGTTAACAAATTCAATTGGTAAAAGTTTACTGTAGTAATTGAACAATGTTAAAATGTACTCATAATTGTAATAGTATGAGTACTTGTTCAGAAAATTCTTTAAGAGGTTGGTTGATGGAACATGAAAGCTTAGATATTTACTTTAAAACAAAACAATGTGTAATTTCCATCCTAAATACTTTATTTGTGATTAGTGCTTCCCTAATATAAAGGTTTCTTTAATACAAAGCATACTTGTCTATCCTTTTCAGATACAACATTAATAATAATAAAGTGTTTATTTTTTTAATATAAAACAAACAAATTTACAATATAGAATTTACATACACTATTCATGGTGTATGTGAGACCTCCTGCATAATAGTTAGATGCTTAACAAAACCTAATAAAATTCACAAAATAAATAAATAATGTAGAACAATCTTTATTGTATTTACTTAACTAATTATGATTTATTGATTTACATTTTTTTTTTCTACATAATATTAATATTTTTCTCCATTTTTGTATCAAATATCATACTACAGCATTATAATGTAATATATATATGGTCAACAATCTATATATAATACTACAAATAATCTGTTTTATTTATTTCTATTATTCTCCCCTATCACTCAACGAACAGTTATATGATCTCGCATTTCTTCCTTCCAAACTTGATCTTTTTTTTCCTCCCCTTCCTCGCCTTTTAGGCTACAGAGAGGTTTTTCCTGGGTCAGGGGTGAGGGCCGGAGATTAATGCCAGAGTTAAAAGTTCTCTGCCACTGGGTTACGAACTTATTCGTCATATAATGTAATCATTTTATCATATTATTTTCAGTTATCAGGTTGCCAGGCAATCCGAGGCAAAATTTTTGTTGTAACTGTTATTTTAATTATTAACTAATGACTTTTGTCACAAATGACATACAGGCAAATATGGTGTCAGTAGAGAATATTTAAAAAATAAATGGATTTCTGAATAAGGAGTATACTATAAGAGAAAGAGTAATATATTAGGAACAGGTATACTCAAATGACTCAGTGAAGTAATGATTCTGTTTTTAGCAGGTCCAATATGTTTGAAGATAAGATAAGATAATTTTATTATAGTATGCCCATTTTATGATTGAATAACTCTATTCAACAAATGTTTTAAACATTTTTCTTTCCTCTTTTCTTTAAACATGAAGTATACTGTTTTTTTTTGTTTTAGGAATTCATCTCGGGTATGAAAGCTCGTGGTCATAATGTGACTGTCTTGAATTCAATTAGTGTAGTAACGGCAATATCTAAGAATGGAGAAATATTCAGTGCAGTATCAGACAGGCGTCGGCCAGGAAACACATCCTACTTGTTGCTCCCTTGTAGTTGTACATCGTGAATTAATGCTAAACTTTTTATTTTCAAACAATCTACACATACAAATCTTGAAATGGATTGACTGAAGGTCCATCCAGGACCCTGTAAGATAGGTCCAGTTTTAAGTTTTATGATTTTTGTTGTTGCTATTTGAATGATTAACTTTATTGTAAAAACATTACACACACTTTTTTTTTTTTCAAAAGGACAAGAACTTTATTTGTCTTTAATTTTTTTAGAGACCCTTAAGCATTAGTTAACCAAGGGCCTCAAATAGTCTAGGTAATCCACTGACTGAAACAGTTTATAGAAATTTAGGATATCTACTTATTAAGTAAGGTAATATATATTTAAAACTGTTTTTGGTAAAACAAAGAATTGAAAATATTTCACTGTCATTAAATCATTGTAAAAGTATATTGAATATGGCCTTAACAGGTAAAGAATAAAAAAAAAATTGTGATTGAACTAAATTATTTTAACAAAAAAACTTAATTATTTCTGTGATATAATTTATTCTAAAAGGTTTTAAGCAAGATTTCCATTCTTTGTAGGATATATGTGTTATCTTTAACAAGAAAATGCACAATTTAAACAGTCATTCCAAAAAAGATATTTCTTTCATAATGTAAAAGCATAATTCGAGGGATATCTATATGACTTAAAGGTTTTAAGTTTCTTTATATGATAACAAATCAAGGCACTAATATTGTTGTCATATTAACATAGACACTAATATATTATACTATAGTATTATAGGTACTAATTTATTATGTAATAACAATGAATGTTATTTATAACATATAAACAGTATATATCCTTTATCAATGGAACATATATATTCCATTAAAATCCTATAATGCAAAAAAAAAAAAATGTGCCCACCAAGTAAGTAACAATAAATTCAATAGAATTTACCAAACACAGTTTATAAAGATCACGAAACTTTGTTACCATGTATAAATGTTTCCCTTTGATGTATACTAATGATCTACAATAACTTGTAATGAGAGCGGCAAATTGGAAATAAATGTTTAAATTTGACTAAAAGTATTTCGATTTTCTTTTTTTATTATTATCTTCTAACAAAAGAATCACCAACTTATTATTAATATATAGCAATAAATGTCATTATTTCACAGGGGCTACATAGGATGCCAAAGGAACATACCTACTTGTGTTTAAAAATAAATGAACAGTATAAAAAAAGCACAATAAAGAAATAATTATGAATTAATCTGTTTTACTTATTGTTTGTGATCAATACATTTTTGAAAAGTAATAACTTATCTCTCTGAGCCAGTTTTCTACTTTACCGGTGATTGCGATGAAGTGATTTATTCACCTCACAAATATATTATCACCCTACTTCATGTGGGAAGGTACATAAACATGTTGTATAAGAAGGATGGAGTATAAGGGAAAATCTTAATCCCTACACTTAAGGGTTATCTATGGAGTGTGAAGCTAGGAAGTGAGGATTTGGCCAACCATCGGCACAAAAGCTTACTTAGGGATTTGACTCTCTAATAAAGTTTTAGAAACAAAAGAAAAACATGATTATGTTTTCCACACATTTCTGATTTGTTTTGTAGTCCTTGACTTGACAATATTTATGCCCGTGGCTTCAAAATTCACTTCAATGAAACTAAGTTAAAAATTGCTTTAAAATGGTTGTTTGTTATTTTATATATAACATGGCAAGCTATGAAAAAAAAAAGGGCAAAACGTGAAGCTTATTTCAGTGACACACATTACACATTGCATTTAGAAATATCCTTTTGGTTCTGTTTCTAGAAAATGTTTGCCAAGATTTAAAATTCTGTCACTTCTAACTTCAATAACATTGCATCGAGTATCCAAATGTCTTTTAACACTGTTTAATTCCATTTGTAAGGTTCTAATATTTATATTATCCATATATCTATTTACCTGATTAATTATATAGGAGTCCTATATTTTAATATATATAATTAACAAGTATATTATCATTTTTATTTTCTTCCTTATAACTGCCTTAAATACTTTCTTAGAATTTAACAACGAGAGAAATCTCTAGTTAAACCATTGCATTCTTTGGTAGGTTCAAACCGCAAATCATCAGGTTAGAATTATAAATTAGATCAGAGCTTCACTCATTACTTCTATTCATATATTTTAAATCCTTTTTACATTAATTTTGTTTAAGTTAATGGGTTAAGAAGTAAATTGAGTTTAAGTTTAGGCACAAAATTAAATATATAAAAAAGTACATACATAGAAAATATTAGAAAACTCCACAAAATTAAAATAAAATTTTTAAAGGACACAATATTCCTATCATTATTAAAAATAAATGGAAAACACATTATTATGACATATTATTGGAATTAATAAATATTAAATTTTATTTTTATTTTGCTAAATAAGGGATATACTTTTATATATTTTATTTTATGGCTGCAACTGAAGTTTAGCTTTCATGTCGCTCTATGTTTGTCACTTAATATTTAAAATTCTTGAGTGAGACTTCATCAATGGTGATTCTATAAACAATTGTACATTTTCTGGTTCATGGATATTCAGGTGAGTTGCTATTTATTAACAATGAACGTTTATAAATTGGTGCTTATTTGGTTAACTAAAGTGACTGGTAATTTCCTAGTGAGTCTTATCTTACTTGCGTTAAGGTCACTCTCAGGCCTTTATTTACATCCTTAGGTCGGCTGATCCAGCTAATACTGCATCCAGCTAATAAATAATAATAGTATATTATTTTATTAAAAATTATTATTAAATCGTTTTCAGAAAATGTATTTGAAATACAAAATGCTAAAATTATTTTGCATTTTAATTACAAAAAAAATAAACTACAAATTACTTTCTGGTGGATGATCAGCATTTAATACAGGGAATCTACTTCATTTGGTAATTTATTTTGTGTATTTAAAATACAAAATAAAGTACATTTTGTGTGTTTTAGTATCTTGGAAATAAAATAGGAATCCTTTTTTCTTTTAAAAAGAAAATATAGTTACAATATATCTTATATTTTACTTCTTAAAATGAAAAATAAAAATTATTTTGCATTTTGAAATACTTTAATTGAAATACTGAGCAAGTCTGGTATATATTTGCACCTCTAAAAATGTATATTAAATAAACTATGCTCCTTTCTTATGCAAATAATAATAGAGATGGATATAGAATTGACTATTAAAACTGAGGATGATAAATAATCAGGATATGCATGCACTCTTTATATGATTTATTACAAAACGTCAGCAAACCAAATAAATCATATAAAGACTGCATAACCTGATTATTTGTAATCCTCATGAATAATCATAATTTATTTCCATAAGGGTATCAATTTATTAATTCAATTGTATCAATATATCAATCAACTGAAGATATATCGATTTATTTACAAATAAATATATGATCAAGAAAAATCCATAAAAAACTATATTTCAATTAATTTAATTTTTAATTAAACCATTAATGACAATGTTTTAAGATTTCTCCACCCACTTTCAAGTCATAATTTCTCAAACAAAATTTAAAAAAACAAAAAACCATTAATATATATTTGTTTTCCAATTGCAAAATATTTTTTTAAATTAGATTTTTCCTGAAGACAACCATTCACAAAAAAATCTATGCTCCATATTTGTGGCTGAGATATCTATCCTAAAAGAATTCAAGTTAGAAATTTCAACCAGAGTAGATACAATAATTATTTGTTTGGATTTTCTAAGCACCTTCCAACAATTGGCCCGTTCATCCTTTAAAACAAAAAAAACATGTAATCGTGAAAGTACTTACTATGTAAATATGGAAAAGTCTCTTTATGAAGCCTTCACAGGAATGTTGAAAGTGGTTCTCATTTATGATTCAAAGTACATGATATTTTAACTTTGTTACATTTTGGTCTACCTTCCATTTATTAATATCTCTATAATAAAGTGATAATGGATTTTATTTTATTCCTTAATAATATAAAACATCAAATATGGATAATTTATTTCTCATTCAATAAAATACAGCATAATTATACATTCATATAAAATATCTTTGGTATCATTAGCACTAACAACACATACATTTCTTTAGACTTATAATAAATGCACAATTTAAATATTAATAGTAAGTAGCTTGCAAATTTTTTGATAAAAAAAAAAACAACAAAAGAAAAACTAAACAAGCAAATTTAGAATTATAAAAATAAATAAATATGGTAATCAAATAATGTACAAAAAATATATATATACATAAATCACATCATAAGTTGATTACAATATTTCAGCATCGAGCTCAGGGACCACATGTAGCTCAATGAATTTGCTACCTTTAGCAGGAAAGCAAAATCAGGGAATACATCATTATATTACACAGTAGTAGTATACAGTACTCCACAACACCATAACAATATCCACGTCTATTTGAGCAAGATATGTACCAAACAGAAAAATTAAACTGTAAAAATGTTCCTTAGATAAACAGTGAAAAGCAATAATAACTTGATGTATATTGCATAGAGTACAGAATCGAGAAGGAACTTTATTAATGCTTTGATTGAGTTATTATTAAAATCTGTAAATAAAAACACTCATCCGTAAATAATTTATCATTTTTTTAAATATCTTTAATTTATGACTAAGAACCTGTAACTTATTGAGTATTGCTTATTTACACATGTATAACCTATTAAAAAAAGAAAAAAAACAGAAAAACAACGTTAGAATATAAAAAAAAAATAAAAAATAAAAAAATAATGAAGTAACCGCGTAATAAGGTAGATGAGGTTTTGATTATTATATAGCATACATCAGATTAATGGCCAAGCCAATGTTGAAAAATTATTATACATTCTTAAACTTAAAAAAAAATTAATTAGGGAATTAAATAAATATCTATTAATTTAAATTATTTTATTATTTCATTAATTTTCAAACAAAAGTCTTTGTTCGGACCATCTAGAAAAAGTCATGATACATGACTTTTAGTCTAGTACAAAAAGTGAAACTCTAATCAGGCATATGAAACTGTTTAATACTATAAAATGTCTTATTATTGTCTTTTTAATATAATTTATTTTAATTTACTAATATTGTAAAACATAATATGTTACATTTGTTACTTTCTGGCTATTAATAATCCGTTATCAGAGACTTATTCCAGAGAAGTTGTGCAATTAGTGGCGGACACCTAAAAGTTCTAGGAAATAATTTATGGTAGGTTAGCAACATTATATGGTAAACAGATTTGGGATAACTAGAATCGACAAAAATTAAAGTTCTTCTTATCTGCTAATGCAAAATATTTCATGTATTTCTGTCTAGCACATTTACAAGCAAAACCAATTTTTGAATAAAAAGAATAAGAAAACAAATAAAAGGAACAATTATCATATACATAGAATGAATAGGTATACTAATAGAATTCCTATCTACCATCACCTTCAAAAACACATATAACATTTTTATAAATTCTGATTAACAGAAACATGTACAAAAATAATATGTTATACAGACACTCTGCTAAAGGATAATATTCTATAAAATCATAGTTATATTTTGCTTCAAGTTACACGCATGTATGCTGAAACCATTAGCTATTCATTTGAAGCACACATAAACAAAAGATTTCATGATTTTAAGACCGTAATACAATTAATTATTTTTATGTTTCACATAGGAAAGTATAATTATTTGGGTATTCAAAAAGAATTATTTTTATTCATAAGAAAAATAAACTTCACACGTTTTGATTGAACCATTTTTGATAAAAAATGGGTAGTTATTTTATTTTTTAAATTTCTATTTGATAGGAAATCTCAAACTAAAACACAAAAAGTGATTGAATTTGTGTTTTGTATGAATTAAATAAAAAAAGTAGGAAGTTGAAGGAAGCTCACAAAAAGGTTAATACCTGTTTTAAGGAGTATTTTTTCTTACAAAGTTATACAAGAAGAGATTAACGTATTTTTTGTATGAATATGAGTATGAAGTTGACTAGGTTGGACGATTTGCTAAAAAACTTTTTTGGTCGAAAAACTGTTTGTTTGAAAAAAAGGATCTAATAAAAACAATAGTCTCTGACGACCTTCTCACATAAAAAAAGCCTCCAAGCACAAATATTTAACTCATGAACTATCAAAATCACCCAGAGATTAAATAAATAAAATCTCGATGAACATCTCCAATTCTATTATTATTCATTCTTAAAAAATAGGTGAATAAAAAAAAATTAATCACATTATCAAATCAAGAATACCCTGTAAATAATCATTTATAGTCCTTAGAAATTATCATATGATTGTGTCCACTTGTGAATCAAAATGTTTCAAGAGGAGAATAGAATATCGTATATTTCTTTCTTTCTCATTAAAATTAATGGAATAAAATCATTTCTTAATCACTCGGAGACATTTAAATTATGTTTGAAAACATATATGGAAGGCGATATACAACCCTTAATATCATTTCGTAGAATTTGTTATTTACAGGATTGTATTTGAATCAAACATTAATTTAAATAAATAAACAACAAGTAGATTATATAATTTTTTTTAAGCATCACTCAATAACTACAGAGTATATATATTCCATGTGTTTTGCAGTCTTAAAGTCATTTTCATCATTTTACACATGTTGTATTAATAATAATAAATAATAGGTCTTCATCAAATTATAAATTCATGAAATTTTTTCCAATCGTTACAAATTTCAAAATAACAAAAGGCATCATTATCACTTAACAAATTCAATAACAATTCCTAAAAACATATTAACAACTCTAATGAGCACCATTGATTAAATGTGTGCTTTTGCACACATTCATTTTTTTATACTTAGTGCAAGATAATTTTAGTTATATATATGGCAGGCTTTTAAGCCTTCTATAATCATTATGCAATACGACACCACATAGACACTTAATGATATATTTATAATAAAAAACCTGCATATGGACCGATTTCATACGTCAGCATACGGCAGGTAAAAGCTCAAAGTGGGATAGTACATATAAAGACCATATTGTTATACAAATAACATATTTACACATAAAGATCAGTCATTCTGATAAAAATTTATTTACATAGCTCTGATTGAACTTTGACCTGAGGTAATTTGAATAAAGTCTGTCTTCAACATAGTCATTCCAAGAAGTGAAAATTTATATCCAACAAAAGCACAGAATAGACACAAGACAAAAGAAAGGATGACACAATATAGAAAAGGAATTGAATATGAATGCTTACAGATTGGAATGAACTATGTAACTGAAGGTGAAGAAGCTTCAAGTTCCCGGAGAGGAACATTAGGGCCGAGATGAAACGGGATTAAGCCCAGAGCAGACCGCGCGGAGAGCGTAGCTTGAGACTAGAGCATTGGCAGGCCTGGCTGCGGCTGAACCTAGCCTCACCTCACCTCTGGGCTCTTGGTGCTCGCTGATTTCACTGCACCTTTAGGCTGCTCGAACCTCCTTTGTAGTGAGGCTACTTTTGACCTCGGAGGTGGACCGGCAGCCTTGATTGACGGCTTCGGAGCTAATGTTGGCTGCTTTGTTTTACTAAGCACATCAGGAGACTTGGCATTTTCTGGTGTACAAGATGATACTAGGTCTGGTTTCGCAAGAGTGAGAGGAGGACTCTTTTTCTTTACAATTGATGGTGGTGTTTTAGTTCTTCGGAGACCTCCTTTATTTGGAATTGATGCACCAAGTGGTCCACGAGGACGTTGGTCAGGGGCAGACATCTCTGGCATTTTAGGACCCTTGACTTCTTCTTGACTTTTCCCTCCACCCGCTATCGGGCTCAAGTAGCCAGAATTGGATGAAGTGGTACTCGAATCACCTCTCCATGATGTATTAACATATGTTCCATTCTTACCATCTGAGGCATCTGTGACAGTTGAAGCAGTCTCATCATCAGTATCCTTGGAATCCTTACCATCTTTTTTCCTTTTTAGAGTTGATGCAGAGTAAATAGATTCTGTATTTCTTGCTTCGATCTCTGAGACGATCTCATTTAGTAAACCTATATCACTTTTGGTGGGGTTTTCTTCAATAACTGCATAAATGTTCTCTTTAGGGTTTTCATCAATATGAGCAAGAGGAGCAGTGCCTTCTGTCAAAAGATTTAAGCAGTCATCATAAGCATTTGGATCCGCTGGAGGTTTAGGAGGAGGGGATGTAGGCCTATGGCTAGCCGGTATACTATTTGGTCGTTTGCTCATTCTCATCGAACCAAAGGTAGGTATTGGAGCCCTTTTTATAGGAGTATCTCTCATACTTTGAGCCCTTGTAACTTTTTCTCCAGCTGGTAAAGTAGCCAATGGTATTTCAATTTCTTTTTGAGGTATAGGGGCAGAAATCTCTATATTCCTCAATGCTTCCCTCTCAATTTTTGGTTTCTCCTTCTTAATTTCTGGTTTTTGATTCTTCATGAATGATGCAATTCTCGTGAGTGAGGGATAAGCATTGATGGAGTTAGCCTGCTGCAAAGATTTTTGTTGCATAACTGGTTTAGGTGCAGGAGGTTCTGCTTGTACAGTGGTCTGTTGGAGAATTGGCTTTTGTACAGGAGGCTGATGTTGATTAGGGGGAGCCGCAGGTGCTGGTCTGGATGGTGTCAGTGGATATAGCTCTCTTGCTGTGCTCGATGTTGTTCCAGATAGGACGGGAGGGCCTATGGTCGGTCTTCCAAGTTGGGACGCTGGTCTGCCATTGGCGACATTGCCGTTTGGTATCGGCGTGTTGGGTATACTAAAGCCTTTGAACTGGGTGAGTAGGCCGACTTGGAGCCCCTCACGAGGTAAGAGGCTCGCTCTGGAGTGGTCGACAGCAAGTGGTCCAGAGATTTCAACCGTAGTACTTGACCGATGGCCACCACCCATTCCTGACTTTTTCTCATGGTGGCTGTTTAAAGAATAACAATATGTTACACACAGGAAACAAAAAGAAACACAAAAGAAAATAAAACACATAGGAGCAGTGTATTTCAAAATGGGAGGATCAAAGTAAAGAGGAACAGTAGGTAATATGGTAAATAATAAACATTCAATGCTAAATTTATAAGCTAATTAATTATTTAAGATGGGAGCATGGTAATCCAGTTGAATTTTGTAAAATTATAGTTAGAAATACACTGCTATTATTTAGCCAAAGTATAAATATTTCATTTTTAGATTTAGTTTTTACTTTTAAAAAAAGCATTTAATATATATTAAATAATCAAAGCAAAGCAAACAAGTAAATATTATTGGTCAACTAAATTTTAAAACAATTTGTTTTCATCTTAAAAGGTGAATTAAAAAATATTATGCTCTGTAACTCACATGGATGCAGCCAAACAACAATTTAAAATTATTCTGAATCAAATTATATAGTATTATTAATAAGTAAACAGTAATATTAATTTAAATAAGTAATGAAATTAAAAACACATGCCTTTATTGGGTGCAGAGTGAATCATATATAGATAAGGATTAGAAAAACAGATAAATCAAGTAAATTATGCATGCTACAACAATTCTATAGTAATATAAAGAAAAAACAAACAAAAGAAATTGGTACAGAAACACGTTATTAAAATTAGGATGTTTTTCTCTTGTTGCTAATTAATATTTCAGTAGGGATGATGAATACAGTAAAAATTTGTTTTAACGGACACTTATGAGGAAATTCAATTTTGTTTGCTAAGGAATCCTTCATTCATTTAAAAAACATTTTTATTTTTAAATTTAAAATTTTAATTATGAGAAATAAGGTATTTTTTATAATAAAAATGGATATGTAAAACATAAACTTAAAATCATTTTGATCTGAAATATGAGTGACTACCATACTAAAGCCGTTCAGTTGATCAGAGGGCCCCAGATACAGGAACATTTAAGGCTCGACTAAACTGGTCGTATGTTCTGAAGTTATAGGAATTTTTTCACATTAACATTTCTGTATTGATTAATAAAATTATTTTTTCTCTTTGAAATGTCACATAGCTATGTCTCTAATTTTGAATCGAGCAACTAAATCACAAATAATAAATTTTTCATTGTCACCCGAATTAATAACATAATTTTTTTCATTCAAAGTTCATTTAACGTGAGTTGACATAAAGACTATCAAACCTGTTGGAGAATTGACAACAAAACTTTAAAATTTTAACCCCTAACGAAATATCAAACCTCTAGTTTACAGAATTGAAATAAGCTATCATAAATTGGAATAATTTTCTTGGGATACGAGGCTCACTGCAGTTTGATATAGATAAGGTCAATTAAAATCCTTCCATCAAGCCTGTACACATCATTCATGTGTCCATCATCATCCATTATATAGAACATCCTTTAAGTTATTATTGAAATCAGATGGGAATTATAATTTTTTGGCTAAAGACAAAACTCCAATGTAAGGAAGTGTCCGCAACAGTAAGTTTCATTGTATACATATTATACGTTTTTATTCATTACTTGAAACCTTTTCCCCTTGGTTATTATAAATAAATTCAAATTGATTCTATAATTAAAAATATAAACTTTATATTTGTAGAAATAATTTATTTATCTCTTTTATTGTCCCTTTAGTCCTTTTTCAATTATGTAATAAGTATTTAAGAGAAATTTAGGCTAAATCATTTTTTAAAATATAAATATCTCTACAAATGCAATACTATGGGCTGAAAACAAAATAATAATATATTTTCTGACTCAATTTTATTTTAGGATAAATAATAAGTTTGTAATACAGTCAAAGCAAAATTGGGTATCAGTCTAAACTGTTTATTGTATTCAATAAGATGTTATTATGAGGATTTTGTTTTATTTCTAATTTAATGACAGAGGACATGTTTTATCTCAATTCTTTAACCCAATTCCATACTAAAGTATTTGGTAAAATATTTAGTTTATTTATTGTCAAATATATTCATATCACATTATAGGGAAAAATTTATGTTATTGTGTAACTGCACCTAGGACATATTAAACATTTCAAATGATTTAATTTAATTTTTATATGGAGTTAAATTATAACATTTTTTTATATTTTTTATTGTTGTTTTTAATCAGTCAAGTTTGAATAAAACCAAAGACAGTATTTAAGTTATTAATGATTTTCATCACTGATATTAATCAATGTGATTGTTTTACTTACAAATAAAAAGGATTGGATATAATTATTAGGTAATAGTACCATACAGAATTATTAATTATTTATTATAAATAATTAATAAATTGATTAATTTATCTAATAATGCCAATTAATTAAAAAATAAATAATAAGAAGAAGTATTTACTACATTATTTATTACAAAAAGAAAAAGAAATATTTCAACGATATATAAAATTTAAAGGTCCAATTAAAACAGTGAGAAAATAATAGATATATAAAAAAAAATGGCTTCCAATAAAAAATATATTATGAAAATAGATAACAAATAACTTTGGTAAACATGATACTAATAGGGAGCATGCAGAGGAAGTCTATTATATTGGTAAACAAGAACTCAACACAATAAACTAACAAGTGTGCATAAACAAACAAAAGGTATTAATAGGAAAATTGAGAGAAAGGAGGGAGGAGGTAAAAAAAAAAAAATTAAAACTCATGAATATTAAAACAGAAATAAATAATGAAACACTACTTGTTAGATTTCAAAAGCTTCAAAGCCTGAGCATTTGTGGTCGATACTAACTGATGTTTTGTAATGAGTGGCTTTGGTTTTGTGGATTTTAATGTGCAAGATTCATTCTTTTGAACTTCTTCGAAAGGAACTGAATCGTAGATGGGTTCGGGAATCTCAGCGTACACTGGCTCATAAGGGTCAGGTGGTGCTGGCAGTATAGGAGTCTTTTTAGTAATCATCGCATGCTTTTGATCTATGGTGTCTATATGCTGGGGGTGTACGTACATTGTCTGGTGCGGCTTCTTGGCGAAGACGGCAGGGTTCCTCTTGCTGTAGTAGACGAACAGCGATACTAAGGCGATTCCAGGGATAATTCCAAGGAATACTATATAGAAAGCGGTGATCACATCACGCCGAGCTACAACCAAGCATAAATAAATTCATACTTACTTTATGAAGCATTATGTACATATTAAAGCAATAAAATATAGCATAAATATTTCAAAACAACAACAAATTTTATAATATCAACATGTGTATATTTACATTAGCTACTCCTTCACCAATAATATATATCAATTTGAAAATTAAAGTGATAAATTATATTTTTATTCTTAAGTACTAATTAAAAAATACTTCAAAAATTTTGGCTGAAATCAGCATCAATAATTGAAAAAGTAATGAGATGAATCTCTCATATTATAGATTTAAGGGTTTCCCAATATATTAGAGAAAGCTTATATATCAAAAATATTTATAAAATAAGAATGACAAATTTGTCACAAAACATAGAGGAAGTGTTGACAACACAGGGTTGTAACAGACCTACAGAAAAAAAAACACCCAAAAAACCTGATTTTTTACATTATCCAAATAAAATATTCAGATTGGACATACCCAAATTTTTATTAAACTCTTAATCATTTTTATTATTAGTTAATCAATTTATGAGAAATAAAATTCAACTACCAAGCATGGGAGGAGAAAAAAAACCTTAGTTTGTGTTGTTTCTTCATTAAAAATAATTACATTTTGAATTATAAAAAAATAATAAACTTCTACATTGTTTTATGAAATGTTTTTAAAATAATTTAAAAAGTTTTCTGAGCGGTGATTTTAATATTTTATGAACAGTATCTGATTATTTTTGTTTATTTCACCTTTCACTTTCTTTAAGAAAATAATTTAATTTTGACCAAACAATTAAAAACACAACAACTTATTAACCAGCTTTATCATTAACGACAAAAGAGAGATTCCCAGATTTTAACCAATTTCTCTAAATTTTTCTACTTTTCCCTGAGCGATTTGAAACTACCTCATGTATGCAGATAATCCTGCAATTTACAATTCTTTATCAACCATGCTATATGAAATAAAATTAAATCAAGTTTAATTATTTAAAAAATTATGATACTGAACAACATTTTGTGACAGTGATGGATAAATATGACCAGCAAACTGGAAATGCTAATAAATTATTTTATACTTTAAAATTTCACTTTACAGAATTAGTGGTTTCAAATTCATAAGAGAGTATAAAGAACATTTGGAAATGTAGCTTTATATACATTCTTCACATAATAATTTTTGAAATATACTATTAAGAAATACAATGATTTTTTTTTTGTGTATTTGTCTCCACAACTAGCGATGTTTTCCCGTCACTGGTAAATGTAAAAAATATTCAATATAGACTACAGTACAATCTCAGTAATCCAAATCTCAATGGATTCAACATGACAACAATCTGAACTTGTAAAAAAAAAACAACCGTTATGCTACCATCTAAGAAAAGAAGCATCAAGAAAGGACATCCAATCGGCAAAAAACAAAAATAATTGAATTAATTTTTTTTCTCACTGAATTAAAAAAGAAAGTAAAGCCTTCCATGTGTAAAAATTAAATATATCTAAATGAGTACACACAAACATATCCAGTTGAAAATATTTATTGAGTTTAGCCTTTTATTGCAAGGAGTTTTTCCAAACAACTTCTGTAATCCGAATACTCCTTGTAGCAATTGGTTCAGATTACTAAGATTGCACTATACATAATTTTTTCTGTAATCTTTTAATACAAATATAAGATTATCACTTATTTTGACTTTATTGATATGTTATTTTTCATTTGTCTTTGTTCATGTTTTTGATACATAATCTAAAATTTATGTATTAAAGCAAGCATAAACAAAAGGCGTAGTCAACCACTAATTTGCTTGCTTATAAAAAAAACAATAATAATAAAATGTTTTAACAAATGATAAACCACAAAAAGTTCAAGACAATTAATTCCAAAAGATTTATTTCTGTTCTTTTAGAGGATAAATTCTAAAAGAAAAGTTGAATTTTATTTTCACTCTTTAAAAAAAAAAAAAATTATAATAATAAAGCCGTTACTATGAATCGTCATAAAAATGAAGATTAGTATTTTAAAAAAAAATTGCTCATTCTTTAAGCTACTAAATCCTCTCGGGAATTGTAAATTTATAATTTGCAAAAACAGCAGCTTTTCAAAATGCTATAGTCTACATTTGCTCTATTACTGTCTCTAAAGCCAAATGGAAATTATTTTAAAAAAAAACAAACCAACCCTTCAATGGTGTACATCGGCCCCAAAAGTGAGCTTCAAAGTAACAAAATTAACTATGTAACACTATATTTGTGAATATTTACATTCAGGTAGAATTAATATAGCTGTTATGTTCTAAAAAAACCTAGCAAATTAGGAAGAATGTGCAATGAAACCATCAACAAAACTATATTAGCTCCATTCATTATTTTATTAATGTTAGCCTGAAAAATTGGAGGTTGGAGTCATAAGATCATATTTTTTTTTTAAATACATTTTAAATTTTCGAAATTTGATAGCTACACTATCAATTTAATTTTTTTTCTGAACTTAAATAATATTTAAGGACTTAGTAGGTTATAGTGTTTACAATTATTTAATTATTTTATTAATTTGTTTCTATCAATTTATTATGGTTGTCTTGTAAATAAATATAAATGAATTTTTAACCCCAATAATAATTAGCAAAGTTACAACTCAGTTTTTTAAAATTTATTATAATAGTATATTAATGGAAAAATGAAACAAAATTTTAATTAATTTTTCATTTATAAACAAACTCTTGATAAAAATGAATTTACTCACAGATAATAGTGAAGAATTAAACAATGACTCCCATACTTGTTGAAAATGATGGCTGTCTCAGCCAGTGTACATTATTTGAATGAACTATTATCAACACAACAGATAACCCCTCCCCCACCACTTCCCTTTTAGATTTTCACTTTTATTCTTAATCCCTTCAATCAATCAATTATAAAACAACTTTATTTATTCAGACTTAATGGAACAATTATAGATTAATTTTGACAGTTTTCTGACAAAATAAATATTTATTCCTGAACAACTTTACAAAACCAATATAAAATAAGCATCATTATTAAGATTCGATTTGTTTTATTAACTGTTTATGTGAATTAGAATTTTATTTGAATACTTATTCATTTTGATTTTATTTCAACTTATAATTTTTTTGTAGCTCCCCAAATATCTTTCTGAATCAGTGGATTTAGACACAAATATACCAATTATTATGACATGATTTTGTAAACTTATAAAAAAAAACAAATGTTTTCCACATTGTAAAGTACAACTCTGTTAATATTTATAATACCAAAATGTCAAAACAGAAGGAGACAACAGTGTCGTACATTTGGGGCCCGGATTTATTTTAAAGAATCCTTTAAAAAAAATTATGTTACAACAACTTTTATTTCAAAATGAAAAATGAGATCAATAGTTCATATTTATTATAATTCTACTAAATCCCAGCTTTTTTTCCCCACTTAAATGATCATAACATAAGCCTTTTGACAAAATATTTAGCATATCTTAATAATTTTTTTTTTTACATATTTCAGAATTTTTTGTAAATCTGGTTCAGTATATTTAATAAACATAACTTAATTTACACACAAAAAAAAAAAGAAATAAAAGAAAAATTCTTTCTAAACATACATCTTTGTTAGTATATAAATTTATCATATTAATATATACATTTCTAAATTTTTGTATAAAATATTTTATTTTTATTCTTAAAATTATCTTATTTTATTGTATTTTTTAATGGAAAAATTTCAGCAAAAGAAAACCAAAAAATATTTATCTAATAAAAACAAATTTTTAAATATTTAACTCATAAAAAATATTATCCAACAGGAAAATTATTCATTTATCGGTTACCAAAGGATATGATCTAATATGTCATACTTCAATGAGTAATATGGATGAAATAGGACCCAAATATACAGGGAATGAGTAAGACTGTAAAATTAGAATTAAAAAAATCCAAAATGCGAATAATAAAGAAGTTCCCAATTCATTATGTCTAATTTACTTGAATTTTATATTTATCTGAAATGGTTATTGGAATGAATGGCACAGTTAGAAAATTTTGTAAAATAAAAATAATGCAAACGACCTGATTTATTCAAAATCATGGAAATAACTAAAAAATAGATAATAAGAAAAAACAGGTAAATTGATCATTAATTTATATTTCTGAACCAAATTTATAAGCTTAATTAGAATAATTGAAAACTGACCATTGAAGTTAAGAATCAAACTTTATAATCAAATTTAGTTCTGCATTCCCTCTTCACTTTCATAAATCAAAGTTAAGTAAATTAAAATGAATTACTAAATTTAAAATCACAGTGAAAAAAAAAAATTCCTACCTCAGTAAATTTAACCTAAACTTAAGTAAAAATAAAGTAATTTTTTAAAAGAGTGGCTGAGTTATGTGAACCATAACTGAATATACGGTCCTAAATTCTTTAGGATCAGAAAAATTATTTGAAACAATTTTTTACTTGATTTTAATTTTTAACTATTAAAAATATTTTGTTTCTAAAGACATAAGATTCCAGATTATTCAGTTAAAAACATATAATCTTTTGTATATCAAAAATAGTATAAGGATCGTCCCGAATAATACAGCATAACTTCAGAAATGTTTTAGTAATAAATAATATTTGATATATAATAAGATGGACCAATAAATAAGACAAGATTTGTCTTAAATGCTAACATTTAAATATTAAACAAAACAAAAACAAATAATTAACATCGGATAGTCACCATTAGGCTGAGTGGCAGGCCCACTGTCCTCAGACCCTCCAGTGCCAGGATCGTGGCAGTACGGAGGCGCGAACCCTGTGTTACAGTGGCAATGCCCGAGGCTGTTACAGACACCATTTCCGTTGCAATTGTCTTTACAAGCTGTACCGGCTGTCAGCGCTCCAACAGAGAGGCAGCGTTGTCCCACGCACATCTGGAGCAAAGGCATAAAAATGATTTAAAATTTCATATAAAATACTGTAACAAAAATCTGACACCATTGTGAATAAAATCAGGTTCGCTTGTTTAAAAATAAAATATAACTGAATGTTAATATTTAGTAAATAAACCATGTTTAAACAGAAATAATTTGTAAAAGTGTTTTCTGTTTTTATATTCTATATAGAATAGAATTTGAATATCTGGCTACCAACAGTAAAATTAGGACTGCTGTCATAAAGGCTGCAGAGGATAAAATGAGAGAAGAAGGGAATGAATGAAAATGTCACTGGTTTGATCAGGAGTCTTCATGGATGAAAAAAAGAAAGCTCATATAAAGAAGATACAGAGAAAGATTTAAGGAGAAGAATTAGAGTTAGTTAGTTCACACCTAGTCCATAATCAATAGCACTGAATTCAGACTAGTATGTTTTAACCAGAAACCTCCTCATATAAACTACTATGATTTCTGAAGAGTAATTTAGTTTCAAATCTCATATGAGAATTTTAGTGAAGTTGGGTCATTGTTCAAGAGATTCTGAATCATATACAAGGATTCCCTGAAGGGTAACTAACAGGTTCTTTTTTGAGGCTTTGGACAGTATGGTACTCATATTAGATGATTTAGGAAAAAGTATTTTTCTCTAATTCTTCTTGCAACTTTTACTATTGAATAGGTGCCATAATCAAACCCTTTCAAATTATTATATAAAAATACAGTGTGGATCTGTGGTTAATTATCCCTTTCTTTACCTTCTTATGATTTTTATATTTTATTCTATCAGAATTGATAATAAATTCTGTTCCAGTGTCTTGACAGCTGTGAATAGCAAAGTCTCAATTATTTTATTTTAGATTAAAAAAAAAAATGATTGATTGATATGCACAATATTGACATTTTTATACTTTGAATAATTACTAGAATTCATAACATTTAGAAAAATATTTGTCTTCATTTAATTAAATTACCTTTCCATCCGCACACTTAGAACCATCAGGCGATAATCCTGGATCTACTTCGTTCAAACCAAGGTCTACAACAGCAGTGCGACAGGCTATTACTTTGCCATCATTATTCAGAAATGAATGGGACAAAATAGCGACTGATTCCATTCCAAACTCCAGTTTTTCATTTAGATGAACACAATGAAGCATACCACAATATATGTCCCTAAAAGTGTTATATTAAAATAATTCACATAACAATATTATGATACACAACAATGGTAGATTTTTCATGTTTTTTTTTTTTTCAAATGATAACTTACTCATGGACACACTTGACGAATGACTGATTGAGTCTGTTGTAGCCACAATTACCATGTCGATTTCCGATTGTGTTCATTTTATAACAAAGGAGATCTGAGGATTCACCGCTGGGACCCCAAAGAAGTTTGCACTGGTCATTGTGACTTCTGCATGTGCCCTTAAAAATATTAAAATAATTTAATCAATATTTCTTTTAAAGGTATGAATGTTTTAATACCACCTATGGTTGTTTAAATAGATAAAAATTTAATAGAATGATTATCCTTTAAAAAAACACAAAGATACACATTTAATAGACATATGTTAGAACTATTAAAACTTTATCAATTTTACATTAATAAATTTATAAATTATTTTCAAGAATACACAAAAAAAAAATTAATAAGAGAATATTTAAAACTAATACAAAAATCAGCAGTAATTTTCAGATACCTTATAACAGAATGCTTTACTTCGATCGCAAGGCTCCCCGTCCATTTTGAATACATCATCTGGGCAATATTCAGAGTGACCCGTGCAATATTCTGGTAAATCACATTCATGATCCGAACTTCGGCACATAGTTCCAGCAACTTTTGGGCGGCATGTCTTTAAAAAGTCAATCATTATATCATAAATAACAATAATACAAATCTATTTTATTAAAATATGAATTCTATAATTAATATTCTAATAATAATTCTATATTCAAAATTAAAATAATAATCTATAATCAAAATTAAAATTTATTTTTTACATTTATAATTAGTAGGCAAATACATTTGTAATTGTAAAAAAATTACAATGGAGTTTTACGTTGTACTGAGGAAGAAGTTACTAAACTATTAGACGTGTACCAATGGTGGTCTGTAAGAATTTTCTGTATACCATGTTGTATGCAAGCAAGGAAAATAAATCATGAGTAACAATGCTTTTTCTAAACATTCACTGAGAGAAAACAATTTTTAAAAAAATCATTATTGAATTTATTAACTATAAGATATATAAACATAATATGTATTAATAATAATCTATGAGGACTATGATAATCAAGATAAAAGCACTCATTGTTGAAGAGGACATGTGACTTCATCAAGCTCTAATAAAAAATAATGCTTCTAACAGAAAAATATTGATGCTTTCCATCGAAATCTCAAAATTTCTTAATTTTGTAGGATAGATTCTTATTTGCAGATTTTTTAATTTGTTTTCAGTTTTCTTACTGTTGCGTTATTTTGTTAAAGTTTAAATTTTTGATATTGGTAAATTATTTGATATTTATTTGAATTTATTGTTTTCTGAAACAGATTTCTTGCAGTAAATATTTGTTTGTTTTTAAATAAACTTAGTTTAAAATAAGTTTATATTTTTTTATGAAGGTGAACGAACACTCAACACTAAAATCATAAGATCAGGTGGTGGTATACCCAGTTTTCTGAAAGCGAACTGTTACAAAAATGACATCAAATCTGAGAACTCCTGTTCTCAGGTATAATCTAGCTTACAATGCCTGGATCCATTTATTTAATACAATTTGATTAAAAAATGATGTGATTTGATAATTCTGGAAGGAAAAAGATCAATTAAGCTAATAACTTTAATGCAAAAGTATTTACAGAAAGATCACAGCATTCTCCGGTTGCACATGATGCATTAGAATATAACATGCAAGTGGAAGCATTGCAGCAAGGATTTTCGCAGTGCTCTTTAAGACCACAATCACACTGTTCGCCTGGTTCAACGAATCCATTACCACAAACAGGGCTGTCGAATAATCTGCAAACATCAATTAAGAAAAAGGATTGAAATACAAAAGAAATTATACAATACAAAAAGTAATAATATTAAAAACATATCAAGCTGAAAACCAATTGTACCTATCAGGTTTGTTGCGGAGACAGTAATCCATACCATGCTCGAAGGCCAAAGCCAAGTATTCTAAACTGCATGAGCTCCAGTGTGATGGGCTGGTCAGGCTTTAAAGAAATATAAATATATAAGTCTAGATAAGTGACAGTAAAGAGAATACTTCAAAAAATATTGGGAGTAAAAGATACTTCATGTTGAATTGGCAAGATTAAACCTTAAGTTCTGAAATTTGTAGTTACAAAATTAACTATTGTTTAACACTGAAAATAATATTGTTAACAGCACAAGTTATTTACATGTAACTAAAATCGTTTAAAGGTTTATGATTTACTCTAAGCAATAACTATTGCTAATATTTGTTTGCTATTGAAATTTATTACTAACTTTCTCAATAATAGTGGATTGATGGTTGACTGTACAATAACATTACCCAATGGAAGTGGGTTTATTCTGAAATCTTACCAATAATATTGTTATTAATAAAATGTTTACAGTATAAATATATATATATATATATATATATATTTATTAACATTTTAATGCCTACTCTTTACATATATCAATAGTGAATGTTATTTTGTTAATTAAAATATTATTGGTAACGTTTCAGAATAAATCCACTTCCATTGGGCGTTATTATTGTTACTAATCTAGCGAAACCATGGTTTACAATTCTAAACAATCAATGTTAAACATTTTATGAATATTTAAAATAATAGCAGAGGCACTGTTGACCATTTTAGGATTGGCATTTTAGAATGAATTTTAGATGTTGGATGGAGGTGCAGTGTTTGATGAAATAAAACAAACAAGAAAGCTAATTTTATTGTGTAGCAAAATTTTGGCCGCAATTTTTTTCTTATTTATTTATTATTGCAAAGCTTCAGCCAAAATTTTAAATAATAATTACTCTAAATGATTATGTATATAGATCATTAACTAACATCTCTGGCAACAATTTTATGCCCTTTTTAGGACTAAGTAAAAATAAGAAATAACCAATAAAAAATAGTTGGAAAAACAGTATAACAGAAAGATAAAAAACGACACGAAATGAAGAAAAATTAAAGTTGATTTTTTAAAAATTTTATTTTAGTTCCAATAGAAAAAAAATATTATGTTTGACTATTTATCATGAATTTGGTTTATCATTGGAATTTTTTTTACTGTTTTTGTTATATCTAGTTATCTTGTTTTTACTTAGCTCTGATGATAAACAAAGGCCTAAAAATTAGGCTGAAATATTGGCACTCAGGAAAACAAGGTTTCTTTGTTTATGTATTTCAGTAATGACTGTACCCATCCCTTCCTTCTAACAACTTCTCTTACAACTATAAATATCGAAAATTTCAATGATTTAATATGAATTATAAGTTTAATGAAAATGGAAGATTCTTGTTACCTTGATGATGGAGCCATTATACACCTATCATCAGGACAGTTGCACGACTGAGAGTCATGTTCCATACCAAAATTATGGCCCATTTCATGAGCGACTGTTGTAGCAACGAGCCCTACTTTAGTACTATGGTCCATGCTAACACCTCCAGAGAATTCAAATGTGCATATCGGCCCTTTTAAGGCTTTTCCTACGACACCTCCCTCGAACTGAACTTTCCTGTAAACAAAGAAACAATTGAAATATTTCATAACAGGAGATATGTAGGAGAAGCAATAAATTAGTTTCCCTTTGAAAACAAAGGTAGGTAAGGTAGAAAGTAGATGATGAATCTTCAACTTTTGAAGAAAATGTTTCGACACAACAATATTAAAAGCGTTTTCTTTTGATCCATAGAGGTGTAAAGTTTAATTGATAAAACTTAAAAGTCAAATTAATTTTAGAGAAGAAATATTCAGAAGTTTTGTTGTGAAAAGTTTTCAAATACTAAATTATTATGTTCTAAGTGAGTTTCTTTTATTTTATTACTTTGAATGCGAACTAGGTTTTAGAGGAAACATGATGAAGTTTTTAGGAGAATTTCGCTTTAAGATATATCAAATAAAAGCATAAATGACAATCAAGATACATCTATACAAACAATAATAGGCATGTGAAATATTAAAAAAATAATTCTAGATACATAGAAAAGTTATTAAACATTTAAAAATTTAGTAAGCAGACATAATTTAGACAGCAATAAAGTTAGAATCTATTAATATTTATGACACTGTATTTTCATTAAAAATTACAAATGAAAAAAATATTGAATATATATCTTTTTCTTTCAGAATAGATGAAGAATTAACAGATCCTGAGACTTATAATATTTACAAGTTCAATTAAAATGTTTACAATAAAAAAATATTTTTCACTTTATAGTTTGGAACATATCATTACAGTTAGTGCAAAATTGTATATAACAATTTTACATTCTTATTCTATTTGGGCCAAAGGTGACATTTTGTAATCTGCAAACTGATAAAAGTAGTCTTCTAGTAAGGAAAATAGTAGAGGGAAACAAAATATGAAATTACACTGATTAATCATGAAGAAATAATCAATTGTAATCTCTTGTAAAAAAAAACTCAATTTTCATATACGACCTTTTGAAATATTAGAAATATTCTAATTTTCAATTAATTTTTAAGTTCAAATAAAATATTTGTTTAATAAAAATAAGTAAGGTGGAAAGATGGTGCTGTAGATTGAAAGAATACAACAATCAATTTTTTCTTTCAGTGATACATTAATTTAACCCAAAATAATTTAATTTTATCCAGACACTCAATTTGGAAGTGATTACTGAATTAATAAATGCCCCTGTCCATAAAAGTTAAAACACTTTCCAATAACCCAACTCTTTTAAACTCAAATTTATACCCAATCTACAAACAGATATAAATACAATTCCATTTACACCACTTGATAATAATTACGAAAGTTAATACTAAACAATGAAATAGGATAAAAATATGTTTGAAACTTTGTTGAAAACTTAATTAAGTTATAAAGTAAAAAAAACTGTTATTAATTTTAAAACAAAAATAACTGAATTAAAGAAATGAGAGATTGTAAAAAATTCAAATAAACTAAGAAAAATAATACAGAATTAAATTATGTGAGAAGGAATTGGTTAGGGGGTGGTATTGTTAAGGATTTGGTATTGTTAACGCTGTTGTTTCGATCCACTTTGTAGGTCTTTATCAGAGCTACAAAAGATACAAAATATAACATCTGCTTTAACAATAAAATACTATAAATATAACATCTGCATTAACAATAAAATACTTGTTGAATAGATAGTATTTATTTGACCGCACCCCCCTGACCAACTCCTCACAGTCACGGTCAACCATCTCTACATCATTTTTAAATTATGGATTTTTTAACAGAAAATTTGATAATTGTTTGAAGACTGTTCTTGTAAATAAAAGTTTAGGCTCAATAAAAGTTTTTGGAATTCATAAATATTTCAAGAACTGAAATAAATTTTCAGGAGCAACTTCACTATTTGCATAAAATAAATAACTAAATCATTAAAAACATTTTTTTTAACAGGCATAACTCTAATTTAGTAAAAGATACAGCATGAATTAGAATGTACTCTTAGAGAGAAAGGTTAACATTTAAATTAGAAATGGAGGTAAATGATTTAGAAAAGGTTGTATAATAAAGGTACTAACGATGCTCAAAATGTATAATGTAATATGTTCAATATATAATATTAGAGAATCAACAAATTTTAAGGATTTGAAATTTGATATTTATTGAATAAATAAAATATAATGATTAAGAAATTATAATGAATTTTATTAATTAAGATTTTATTATTACTATATTTTTTTTACAGTCTATAAACAGTTTATTAATGGTTTCTATAAAATTATTACTTTAAACACATATTATATTATAGATTATGAATCTTAAGTTCTTCTAAATAATTTTCAGCATATTAATCAGTATGTCAAGAATATATTCATCTGTAAGAAAGTATGTAATATAATTAGTAAATTTATTATATCCAGTACCAATACTTATTTCAACTAATACATAATGAACAAAAAAACTAAAAAGAAAATTGATACATACGTTAGGAGTTGAGCATTGTCATTGGGATGTTCTTTGACCAATCTTTCTCTCCTATAGTGCAAGAAATTGGTGAGAGTGGTGTCGCCTTTAGTGGAAAGTGTTATTTGATCATAATCCACCCAAACAACGACGCCGACCAGAGCGATGAAAATATTTAAGGGCATAAAAAGCTGAAAATAAACAACTAATATTAATAATAAAGTTCATTCGAAATCTTAGAATTAACCAACTAAAAAAAAAAATAATTATTCTTCAACTAATTATTAAAATTCACTATTGGATTATTAATTTTTAGACAGATTCATAAACTGGGATCTGCAGAACAATTTCGAAATTGACATCTCTCAACTATTCGGTTTATTTAAGTAAAAATCCTAAATGGACAATACTTTTTATTTGTAGATACGTAGATAGTTTTTAAACATGAAATGCCTAGGGTTGGTTGGTTATCAGAAAAAAAAAAGTTCATAAGGGGGTTTGTATACTACATGAATCTCAGATTCCATGATATAAGATAAAGTAAATATAATTTAAAAAATAAAATATAATAAAAGTTGTTAGAAACTTTTTAAAATGATAATACAAGAATAGTTGACATGGTGATATTATTCAGTGATATTAAACTAATGATATGATAACTTAAATGATGGATAGAGAAAACTCACAATGAAGAATGTCGCCAGGTGCTTATTAGATTTGATAAAATTATAAGCTTTTGCTCTGAATAGAATTATTTGACAACCTCTAATTTAGCCTGTCATGCCTGCTCCAGTTGGATTACATAGGCCATTAAAATACATAAATAAACAACAAGTGAGCTATATAATGGCATAATATATATGTTTAAAATAGATAATTTTATAGTATGTAAATGGAACATTTCAAACACCAAGTCTTGAGTCTCTAACAAACACATCAATGTTTTGACAGTTCAGACACCACAAGGACAGAAAAAAATCACAAATTGTATTTTAATATACAGATATAAAGTTTTGAGTGCCTAGATCGCCTATTGACTCACAACAACTTCCTACAAATTTTGAAAATAAATTATTTTGATTGTTGATCAGCAGTGGTACGCCTAGGATGGAGGGAGAGATACATTCTGAGCCCCACAACAGATACTGTTTTCTTTTCTTTTTAATAAAATAACAACTTTATTATTTATATAATACAATTTTTTTAATCAGAAGAAGACTTGACTTGTTTTAAAAAAAATTGTCATAAATTTTATTTATTTCTTTAAGATGTTAAAAATAAATCTGTATTAGGCTCTAAATGGGCTAAGTATATCACAGTTTATCAGTGGAAGTTTGCTATTATTTCTATAATAAATAAATTCATTTTACTTGTGCTCTATTGTACGTCAAATCAAAATTATAAATGATAAAAAAAAAGTTGTACGATTTTATTAATTAAAAGTAAAATAAAATAAAAACAACATAAAATAGATGTATTAATAAATTTCTTTCATTATTTTTTTTTATTCAGATCTAGTTGTTTTTATTGTTGTATAAAATATTAGGCAACTATTTCACCCTTTTAAAACTTCTTCTAGCACAAGTTCAGTTAGGCTTATTTTAATAGAAAAAGAATTTATAAACAATTAAGAGAATAAATTTTATGAAAGATAAGCAGATAAGGAAAAGTTTTTATTTTTGAATGAAGAGTTGTTTTTATTATAAAAATGAAAAATAAAATAAAATATAAAAAATGGTAGGCTTGAAGATGGGCAAATTAACCAATTATTTCCTTGGCAAATTAGCCAAAAATTATTTTATTGTCTGAAGAAATAAATAAGAAGAAAATAAAAAGAAGTTTTAAAAGAGTTAATTTTTTTTCTCTTGTATATCACTATACATAACATATGTATGAAAAAAGATGAAACTTTTGTATATAAAATATTTTTATGTATACATAAAAAGAATTAGTAAAAAAAAATAGCAAGATATTTTTTGTTTTTTAAACAAAAATATTTTAATTCAAATATTGTTAATTATGTTAAAAAATTATTTGAAGAATTTATTTATAATATTTCACTATCTGAATAGTGATAAAAATCCTATTGACCTAAAAAAACACTAAATAACAAACAGAGAAGGACTGAAACTTTTGTCACAGAGGACATCAATATATCAAACAATAACATGTCAATCAATTCTTTGATGAACGATGGCCGAGAAAAAAAGAAAAAAGAAGAAGCTTTATATCCAGAGCAATAAATTTCCATAAAGGTCGAGAAGAGAAAATGAAAGATGGAGGGAACAGTTGAGGTTTGGAGAAGCCCCCTCAGGTAAATGGGACAGATAGCCTATCAATCACGAGGAATTGATGTATTGCCCTGGCGGTTAATGAAAACATCAACTGCCTGGCGCTTGGCGCTCTCTCGATGGGATAGATAAAATGTAAAAATGAATAGGGCAGGGGTTCATAAGAGCAAAATCAATGGGCGTTTAAATAAAAGAATATTTAATGGATAGCTCACTGATAGGGTTTATCAAGAGAATAAATTTCAAATCAGTTCTATAAGAACCCTGAGGGATGAAAGTATTCATACCTTTGTTAAAGTTTAATCAGCAGAAAAAAAAAAAAAAAAACTCTAGACTGGAAAATTATCGCAGATGAAATCTGTAGTGTTTAATTTAGAATTACCTATCACTACCTCAAACAATAATGTTGACCAGGAAATATCATCTAGATAATTTTTGTTTTGAAATAAAAATACACAATATATACATTAAATTATTCAGCTTTAATTCATAGAATGTATTATAATAATTATTCTATTTGTATTAGCTATTAATGTTTGCAAATTGGTATCCACATAATAGAAATGTATAAATTTGTTATAATAAAATTATATTATTTTATCTCATGTTAATTTGATTATGTTGTTTTACATTTTTATTTATTTGTCATTTTTTTTATTAGAACATGTTTTATTTATTTAATATATTTAATGTTTATAAAACATAATTAAATACTAAATTTAGATGGTACAATACATGCATGTAAAAAACATTAATGGGGTTATCTGTATGAAACATTCAGAAAATAAAACATCCTTTCAAAGGACTACTGTGCAACTTTTTTTTTTTTACTCCTTGTGTAATTCCAGTATAATTCATGATGTTCCTAACAGTATGAACTGTCGATTTGGTCGATTTATAATTTATACTATTAATAGCAAACACTTTGCATTAATTGCTCCTTGTCAATGAACTGATACATATTTAAAAATATTTTTTTGAATTTAAAAAACAAAAGGAAAAATTAGGAAATAATTATTGAACATTAACAATTGAATATTAGCAATAAAATGTGAAAACCAAATCTTGCTTGTTAATACTTCATTTGAAAAGCTTATCAATGTTTAGTGACTCTGCCTCATCAGGATTATACTGATATCTTGATTATCCTTTTCTTTTCTTTTTTTAAATGTTTTATGTTTAATATCAAACCTAATTGTACTATTTTTATCCATATACAATATATTGCCATTACAATTACCAAATATTATATACAAATTTTATATAAAAACAGATTAACTTTCTGGTTCAATATCAATATTAACAATTTTTTAAAAAATCAACTTATTAAATAAAATATGAACAACGAAGATATATATTTTTTCACATTTCAGTTACGATATTGCCCGTAACTTCCAATAGAGCAAGGTAGATTTGATATGGTTATTTGAAAATTCCATATTTGGAAGGATCAGAATATCATTGAACTCTCAGCCTGGATGAAGTTAAATAAACTAATAAAGCTGGCTCATAACTATAGATATCTATTGATCCTGAAAGTTAATTATTAGTAGATAAATTTGAAGAACACTATAAAAACTTAAAATTGATGTTTTATAATAATAAGAACTGTTATATAAACTATTTTTATAATTTTACTTAAATATTTTAATAATATCCTTAACATTTTAATTGCAGGTGATAGAAAATAATGTGATTACTTACTGCATTGATAATGTTGGCAATGTCCTTGCAATGAGCATAGACAGCTGCCAGGTTCTTATTCATAGACTCATAGAGTTTGTTGTCGACAACTAGAACAAGCTCGACAAATCTAGATCTTTTGTTAGCATTATATGGTCCTCGGATCGGGGTGAGGGATCGTTTGGCCTAAGGAAAAAAGATGCATTTATATTATCAATTTATAGAAGGTATTTCAAGTATATCATGATACAGTTACACAATTACACTGACATGCAGTCTGACGTTATCAACAACATTTAATACTTTTATTTTCGAAAAAATTATAAATCTTTTTTTTTTATACTGTTCTACTAGATAAAGCACCCAAAATAGATTTTTTTTTTCATTGGTCCAAATTTGTTTCAGTGAGTGGTCTGAGCTAAATACTTAAACAATCACAATATGGAATCCTTTTAAATTATAAATCATATACTACTGCTACTGTACTAAATGTAATACTAAGCACATGTCAAGAAAAAAGACCAAAAATGTATTCCTATAAGCATTATTATTCCTGTAATTACGTTTTAAAAAATATTTTTATAGGCCCTTAAGGGAACAATATATGTAAATGTATAAAAAAGCTAACCCAAAAATGAAATCCTGAATCCGATACAGGGGTTCACTATTCCTTTTTAAATATTTTTATTTATAATATTTTTTTTATCGGTTCTATTCTTTCTAGAAAATCTTAGAAAACATACAGTATCTAGGTTAATAAAACTATTACATTTCAAGCGAGGAAATAATATTGATCTAAATCAGTGGTTTCTAATCGGTGGTTGGCAAAAGACTTAGTGGGATCCGACAGAACATAAAAAAAGTTGATAAATAAGGGAGAACTTTGAAATCGAAGTTCATTAAACGAGATGAGACGAAGATGTGCGATGAATACTATGTGTTGAATTAAAAATTTTAAAAAAGTAGTTGGGTTTGCCCCTCCCCCATGTCGGAGGTAGGCGTAGTCGGAATAGTTCGAGTTGGGTCCAAAGATCCTCTTCTTGAGCCTCCAACAGTTTTTTTCCGGGTACTCCAATTGAGTCATTTCCCGTATATCGTGAATTTTCAAGCAAATTCAATAAGTTCGTTATAGTAAATAATTTACTATGTATATACCCACCATAATACGCGGAATAATTGAATTTTGACAACCATAAATTATACAGCCAAATAAGGCATTGAATAATTTAGTTATGTTACCAGGTTACAATATTAATTAGAAAGATGGACCGTAAATAAAAAAAGTGAATTTTTTATAATTTTGGAGCAGGTGACTTTTCGCGGAATGCCCACAATACATTTCCCACAAACTTAGTAATACATATTGGCAAAATAGTCCTTTGTCATTCCCACCACTCAGTTTATGGGAGAAGATCATATGGTACTTTTTTCCATGAAAATTCAGAAAAAAAATCTTAAAACTGGATTTGAATGAGTATTTGTACATTAAAAGTTGTACAAAAAAGTTTAGAACATTTCGTAATGACAAAATTTCTTTGAAAAAAATTGCATTCGGAAGATAAGAATATATGAAATAGAGCTTAAAACTTTGAAATGTATCGTCATTATATATATTACATTAAATATAAGACCAACGATTTTAAAGAGTTTTATTTATAAGGTATTAATAAATCTGTTAAAAGTTGGGCATTAAATAATATGGAAATTAAGTATTTTTAAATCTTTTGATCCCATCTCATTAATTATATATACAAATCAACTATTTCCAGGAGGTTTAAAAGAAGAAACAACTTTTTGGATAATTATTAGATAATTTATTTTCGGATTTACTTAATTCATGTCGATTCATAAATTCAACAGTTGAAATAATTTACCAAACATAACCAATAAAAGGACAAACAAAATTTATAGTAAGTGATGAAAAAAAAAATTCTAGTAATCTTATTTGGCAACGCTCGACATGAGAAGATATATAAGGTATAAATAAAAAAAAAGTTTGTTTCAAGCTATTACTACCACTAATTGAATTTCTCCTTTCGATTACGTAAGAAAAATTACATACTACCTCCGATTGAATTTAATTTAGGGAAATGTTTGAGTGAATAAGGGACCTCCAGAGAACTGAGCGTTTTGTCCCTCAGAATGGCGGGACCCAATTTGAGTGTTGGAAAGAATCTCCAGAACCCAATTCGTGCTCTGTGCCACCTCATGAAATATTCTGAGACCTATTCGAGTACATCCGCGTGGTCGAAACATCGTTCAATTTTGGATTTAGTACTCCGCTGAATTCTACGACTAGTGGACTATTGGTTTCAATAAATATTTAAAACAAAAGTTTCAGATAATTTGTAGTAGGAAAAAAAAAATACAGAAATGATTACTCAAAATGAAAACGGTTCGTTCTTTAGTAAGAAGGTTAGCGTTTTTTCCTAATTCATTTAAGATTTAATACGGGATTGGCGTGAGAGCCGGCAGTTAAGGTCAGGGAGGTTCCCCAAAACCCTTCCTTAAAGAAAGATAATCCCCTCACATGATTCAATGAACAGTACCTTCAGAATAAAAAGGCATAAGCAAACAAAAAAAGATTAAACAATTTTATTATAATACGCCTATTCGGAGAAGGCATAGTGTTTATAGATATCAAATCTACCAAGAAGAAGTCAAAACGAAGTTATTTGAAATACTTTTAAGTTCAAGTTCACTATATCTAGCATAAACTCAGGCTTGCCAGGCTCTGATAGTTTTCATTCTAAACTCTTCTAGGAAGAGTTAGGCTTAAGTGGACACTTTATTTTCTGACGTGTCAGTTGAGAAATGATTATCTTACAGATTACTCAGTACAATTCTCTTCATCCAGCTATCGATTTGTTTGCTTTCCCTTCCCTCTATTATAAGAAACGTATTACTATATATGCAAAAGTAATAGTGGTCTTAATTAAAATTCAGAGCAATTTTTTCCGAAAATATATTTTTTTTCTTTTTGGTGTTGTCTTGTAGTTCTAAAAGTGATATTTTATTTACACTTTAGAAATCTTTTTTTGAGACAACGAAAAACAAAAAAGATTTTTTTACAGACAACACTGTGCAGACATCACGTTATGTAGTCAAGAGACTCTCTGAAGATTTATTGTCTGTTCAACCTTTCAACGAAGGCTTGCATATTTATATTGTGTTACGTTATAATCCTAAAATTATTTAAGGAAGCTGATCGACATTTCTACATATCATGGGTGATAAATATTTAGGACGCAGTCATTCTAAAACTTTTTTATTTGTGCCGACGTTTAATATTAGTTAAGATTCATGTACTATCAATCACTATAGTTTATTATTTATTATTATCGGTCGTATAATATTATATCTCTGAATGTATTTTAAAATTTTCAGCCCTGAAGAAGACCCACATGTTTGGGTTGAAACGTCGGCACAAATAAAAAATAAAAATACAATGACTGCGTCCTGAATATTTATCAACATATAATCTTAAAAGTGTACTTTTATTTGCATTTTGAAAATTTCGGCCTCTTGCACACCTTTTTAAGAAATAAATATTTATTATAGACGTGACACTGCGCAACAGAAATTGTTCATCGATATGCGTTCAGTCCACTGTCCCCTTCTAGATACACGTTTTCACTTTTTTATACGTCACTTCGATATTAATTCAAAGTTATATTTAGTACTCTTGTCCCAAACAGAATTTATTTTGAATAAAAAATTAACTTTTTCTCATTAAACTTGACTTCTGTACCATAGTGGAGGAGCGTGAATAAGTGAGGTAAAATATTTGTTATTAATTTTGGCCATAAAAATAATTTGTAGAGTTTCATCTTAATTTAAAGTTTCCATTGACTCCTTTGTCCGAAATCAAAATAAAAAAAAAATTCTTTCGCTTTAAACTTTAATAATGACATGAACTAGAATTTTTGCCAGGAGGCGCGACCTCAACTTTATAGCCTTAAGAACATTAATTTATTTTTTCTGTTCATTATTTCTAAAATTGGTGTCTTGATGTTTATTTGTTATATAAATTAGGCCATTATTCACCGACATTTTATTTATTAGCTATTTTATTACGGCGTTTCGACCATCATTAGGGCGGTTTTCAAGTCTTATTGAGTCCTCCATTAGATATTCATTATTAATGTCGTATTAATTTGTTCAGTGTAAAATTAATACGACATTAATAATGAATATCTAATGGAGGACTCAATAAGACTTGTAAATGGCCCTAGTGATGGTCAAAATGTCGTAATAAAATAGCTAATAAATAAAATGTTGGTGAATGATGGCCTAATTTATATAACAAATAAAATTAATTCATTTTATTGACAGCATTAATATCAAGATAATCAAAAATCCTCATAGATTAGCTAGTCATCCAACGGGTAATTAAGTATATTCTGTTTCATCTAAAACGTGTCTCGAAGTTTCGCAGCTATTTCATAACATCATTTTATAAGTTTTAATGAAAAGTTTCACCGGACTCGGGATGGCACTTCGGTTATACCATACCGCATAACAAACTATTCCAGAGGTAACGAACGCCTTAAAGAGGGAAACAACAGCAAAATAAAATGTAAAAAATTCGAAAAAATTAAACATTTATTAGCTGTAGAGTAAAGGTATTTAGAGAGGAGAACAGTTGGGCATTTTTCATAGCTTCGAAAATACCGATTTTCATACTCCATTGTTTATTATTATTCGTTTATTTTTGCAGATAAAATTCTAGAAATTGTAAAATTTCAAGGCTATGAATACCTCAATCAATAACTAAAATAAAGAGCGACGATTTATCCATTTTTTTATTTTCCAGATCAATTTGAGCTAAAAGAAAAAATATCTGCATTTCTTCGGTTGTTTGTTCATTTCATCTTAATTATTCTTTTCTTCCAGGTCTTACACAAAGAGTCTAATTAATGTTTACAATCCACAAGGTCCCTCAATCCAAGGATCTCGAAAACAAACCCTTCGTCAACAGTGAAGAAGGAGTAATCAGCCCACTACGAAAGGAAAAGGTACCTCAAGTTCTCAAGACAAAGACAGTGAGAGAGAACATTGGAAAAGATGGGCCGCAGTTGGGTCGCTTTCCACGACCCGAAGGAATAGGACTAATCGGACGGAATGGAGGCAACTTCTCAGAAAGAAAACTAAAAAAGGGGAAAGGAACACTAAAAGGGTTCTTTGATTTGGAGGTCGTGGAAGTATTTCAAAGGCGACCCCCAAAGCTTTTTCCAAAGTCTGCCTTGAAGAGGATGGAGTCAGTAAGTCTCCGGTCAATAAGGCCGCTATAACAACCCCTGCCTTTATAATATTAACGCCATTTATACTTTATTTTACTCCCTCAAATAGCCAAGGCCACCGGAAAAAAACCTGAGCAACAAGACTGTATTTTTTGGTTATTTCAAAAGTTATAGAGAACAAAAAGAAAATAAATGGCTGACAAAAAAATACACAATGGAGTATTATTTCCTAATATGTGGAAGTAAAAAAAAAAAAAAAAAAATTATTTAGATATTTTCAAAATTTTAGTATTTAGTCAAGGTTGAATAATTACAGAACTACACTTTCCCTTCATCTTCGATAATAGCTGTAATATGTGACGTTTGAAGTCTCGAATCAAGTGTTGCCGAAAATCGGTCTTGGTCTTGCACTTTGCAAAACCAATACAGGACTGGTAAATTTTTTTTTAAATATATTACTGTGTTCTTTTTATTTCCTTATTTTTAGGTTATTTTATTATATTTATTGTACATAGAGTGTGAGTGTGATTTCTGAATACTATTATAAATGTCCTTGAGACAGATTATAATATTTTTCAATAAATAAGTTTTAAAAAAATATATAATAATAATTTAAATAAAAATTAAGGTAAAAAATTAATTATACTCGACAATCTTAGCTACTATATGTTAATAATTTGTATAACCCATATACTTTGCATTTAACTCATCTGATTTTTCATTCGGGCTTAGTTAGGTTTCTCCTATATATAAAATTGCAGTAGTATCTCTATAGTAATGAACTAATAAGTGACTGCAAGACTGTTGCGAGACTCTTGAGCAAGACCAAGACTGACTTTGCAAGACCAAGACTAGTGTCGGTCTTGCATTTGGGCAACACTACTCGAATCGCTTTTTGAAAAGAATGACGGTTGATAATGTTGAATTCCTCCGGTAATGAAGATAAACAAATATACTCATCCATTGGCTGGACAACTAACAGATAATTAAGTACATCATGTTCAGTATAATACGTGTTTTGAATTTTCGCAGCTGTTATATTATATAATTTTAAAAGATCTGATGAAAAGTTTATCCGGACTCGGTCAGGCGCTTTGGGTACACCATACCGCATAACAAACTATTCCAGACGCCTTGCTTTCGGTATCATCTGAGGTAAAGGCTCGAAGTGAGCAAAAATCTACAAAATAAAATCTGAAAGATACTAATTGTTTATTCTAATTGATAATCTGTAGAATAAAAATTTTAAATCGTTTAGGCGGAGACGAGGGAAAATCATACGGAGCAATAAATATGGACAGTTCGATACTGTTCATAGTTCCGAAGATTTCTTCCTCCATTTCTTATTGTAGACATTGTTAATAACAATTATAATATTTTTAATAATATATAATCATTTTTTTTTTTCATTGGTTGAGTTAATTTATGGGAGTGATCTGAGGTACTCATATTTTTTTTTTCTTGTATAGTAATCCTAAGTAGGAGTTTATTTTAGAAGTTTTACATATTCCATGCGAATTCGCATATTATATGTGTAGATGTTTAGTTTATATTTTAGCTAAACAATTGCGTTCATAGCGTGTGTAAAAATTTAAGCAAAACCGTAAGAAAAAGTAACTAAAAAAAAAAAAATAAATAAAAGCAATACATGAAATAGTAATTAAAGAATTTAAAGTATTGTGAACAAATAAACAATTACCTTAATTTACGTAAGTGAATTTACAATTTTAAAGAGATTTTGTGTAAATACACACAATCAAATAAAACATAGAAACAAGTGAATAAATTATGCATTATTGTGAATTTAACTGAACGAAAATACTGGTGAACACATTAAAATGTAATCAGAAAGCTGATACATAAACAATCACAGTATGCAACCTTTTTAAATTGTATGCAATATAAACGTACATTTTTTTTTTTATACCAGGCATTCAAGGACTACTTAAATATAATCTTCTATAATGGATGATAAATATTCAGGATGCAGTCACTATAAAGTTTTTATTAGTGCCGACGTTTCAACCCACACATGTGGGTAATCATCAGGGCTGAAAATTTTTAAATACAATCAGAGATATGATATTATCCGACCGATAATGGTTAATAATAAACTATAGCGATTGATGGTACACGAATCTTACCTAATACTACAATACACAATATTACAAATGAAATGTGTAAAAAGTTATACAAAATAAAAATAATGTATATAATCCATTTAAAATGAGGATGAGAGCAGTTTGTGGGAGACTGGTCAAGATGATGTTTGGATTGATTTTTAATTAGGATTTTTATAATGTGATAAGGAAACACGTTGGATTTCAGGATCTTGTGTAGTTTAGTTAGGTTATTGTCGTGGAATTGGTTAATGTTAGACTGCGGTGTATCAGGTTTTTAGCTACACTGATTTTTTGGTGGAACTGGGAAATCCTCTCCCGATCCTTTTACATACCTACCAAATGTATTAATACTTGAACACATTCAGTGCTCGAACGACGGATAGTAAGAGAATATAAATTACTATAAATGGATTATATACATCATTTTTATTTTGAATAACTTTTTAAATATTCCATTTGTAATATCGTGTATAGAAATATTAATTAAGATTGATGTACCATCAACCACTATAGTTTATTATTAACCATTATCGTTCGTATGATATTATATCGCTCATAGTATTTAAAAATTTTCAGCCCTGATGATGACCTACATATTTGCGTTGAAATGTCGGCACTAATAACAATTTTATAATGACTGCGTCCTGAATATTTATCACCCATTATATATAAAACAGTCAATTAACTTCCTTCAATAATAATTTCATATAACTTCTTTCAGAACTATAACCGTTAAAAAAAAAATAATAATAATAATAAAAAGGCTTAGCGAACCCGAAGGTTTGATGCCGACACCACCATAAAAAAAAAATAATAATAAAATAAAAAAAATAAATAAAAAAAATAACCTCGAAATGAAATCTTGAATTCGCAACTAGCGGGAAGCTGTGAAAAAATTATAAAAACCGCTTTGCCTGGTTTTAGAATTCGACAACTCAAATATAATAAATGAGATTTAATAAATATTTTTTTAAAGTATATTCATCAATTTGTAAAAATTACAGATACATATACAATGCATATATATATATATGTGTGTATTTGTTAGGGAATTATTATGGTTGACTATTAACAATTAAATCGGCCAAGTTAGTTAAAAGTTATAAGAAAGTTATTTAATTAGCTAAGCATAAAGTTTGCCTAATGATTTTCTGCCCATAGACTAAATGCTTGATCAAGTCCCAAAACTTGCCTTATCAATAACCCATGCGTGAGAGTAGGGCCCCGAGTTGATGGCGGTTTGCAATTACAATGTTGTTTATTAAACTGTTCTTAGCTTCATGTTACTTTGAGTGTTGTTAGAATTATTAAAGGCAAAGTTTTGTTTAAACAATTTTGTGTTGATCTTACGGACTTACCCTCCTACTCCTTTGCAGGTGTATGTTCTCCAAGACCTCGTGGCTCGTACCTTCGAATCCTGCAAAAGACAATCAGGCTTTTTAAGGTGTTGCAATTAAGGAGTTATCCATAACCATAACAAAAATCGAAGAAAACTGAGATAAAACACTATAAAAAAAAAAAAAGGAAATTAGTTAATAATATTTAATAGTGAACTAGTAAAACTTATTCAATGAAAATATTCGAGATATTTTTTACTTGTACATACCTTCATATGAAACATATAGTAAGAGATAGTATTGAGATCGGAAAAAAAAAATCGAATCTGAGTTTTCAATCTAAATAAACTTTTTAAAATATCTTGAGTCCAAATAACTAAGACCCAAAAAAATGGTTTGCATGTATATAAAATGCTAAAATACGAAACTTAGGCTGTTAAAGCATGCTTTTCGTTAAAATCTCTTTTAATTGCCGTAAGATGGGATAACTTTGGAACTGGGTGGGTAACTTTGGGATAGCGGGTAAAATATAGTTTGTGGTGATTCCGTCATTGATACACTGTGTTGGTTCAGTCTGCAAAAAATTGATTTGTGTAGGCATGTACTGCTCTACCTTACGGCAGTTTGAGAACCCTAGTTCACTACATTCGTTGAGCAGTTAGATTTTATTTATTTCCATTGTTTTTTTTTTTAAATTCTCGTTTTCATGAAACTTTCGTTTGTACCTCAAGAGTAGTGTGCCGCAAGGTAGCAGCAGTACATGCGCTGTCTATGCTGACTGAACCAACAAAGTGTATCCAACACGGGATTACCATCAACTAAATTTTACCCACTATCCTAAAGTTACCCCATATTAAGGTATATATATTTTTTTAATTATCTCGAAAACGATTCTAACGATTTCGATTAAACTCATTACATCAATGTACAATTAAATGATATTTAGAATAAAGTCTTATTCTTTTCGAAAAAGTCCGACAGGGCTTAAAGACCAAATTTTCAAAATAACTTTCTCTCATGTATCTTTGAAATAATTATCCGTTTCTCATTGTTATAAGTAATAACTATAATCTATGAAATAATTTGATAACTAACTAATGGTTAAATATTTATCCAGGTTGATAACAATTTTATTTAAATAAAAATAGTAATATGTATATAAAATATGTATACACCGTTGGAAAGGTGAAAAATGTAGACAAAAATTGCATCACTGCAATTGTTTAATAAATTATTTTATTTTACTTTTATCAGTGAAAACGTGAAGAAGTGCATACTGTTAAAAATATATCACGAAAAATGCGGGATAAATATGGTTTTAAACTTTAATAAATTCAGTTTGATAACTTAGGCCCTGATTTATACATGATTTAACGTATTTTAGAAAAAGTAGGGCATTCCGAAAATTTTTTGTTGATACCTGAATGAGGAAATACACTTCTAATATATCATAGTTTTTCTAGTTGTCGTGAGCTATTGAAACTGTTTCAGTAAGTTAAACTGAGAACATAGCGCTTTTAATTTATTTTTATAACCTTAGCATAGAAATTGGTATATGTTATATGATTATTTATTCTAACATACAAGATATGATGCAATACATACCACAAGTTAAGTTCTTCTTCAGGTCATTGTGGCTGAAGAGGAGGTGGTCACCATCTTTCCCCTTCTCAATGTACTTCATCTCTTTACCATCGAAGATCACTCCACTAAAAGACAGAATTTTAATGTTATAATAACTTTATAATTCCAAACAATTTTAAAATTTATTTATCTTCAAAGATTGCAGCAATATTTCCTCATATTTTGGATCTGCTATTACTCCGAAATAAACCACGGTGAATTACAATATTAATAAATAATTAAGTTTGTTACACTTAGTTTATTTGTTATCTTACCTTGCTATAATTTGTTTTTTAATTTATGAATCTCCAATTGATTTATCCGTATTTTTTATCCATATTATATATTAAGGTATTATTTTTATATACAAATACTAAAATCTCCATGCTTCACTTCACCGTAATACAACTTTTGATTCAGTTTGTTTATTTATATTTCAATAAATATAATTTTTAATTTAAAATTAATCCTTTTTAAATTCTTTTCCAGTTTTTTTTTTCCTCAAACTATACTTAAATTAGCAATAATTTCTTCAAAATTAATTCTTGATTTGTTAACTAAATTTTAATATTTGATTTTCAAAAGAGGCGGTTACAGTTCATGGTATTATTTAGCAATTTTTTTTTTGTTATAGCTTTTTATTCATAAGTATGGCTTAAGAGGAAATAAATATTGGATTTCGCGAATTTTTTATGTTACTTATTTTAAATAATAAATTTGCTATTTCATAGCGGTATTACAAGTATAATACCACATATACTAGAATATATTTGAAAATTATTTATTTATAACATCAATCATTTACCTGATCCCATCGCATGTAGATAAAGCGACCCAGCTATCGGCAATGCCTTTTATACTCCCTTGATAGTGGCATAATTCTGTTTCCTGCAAACAAAAAAAATAAATAAAATATACTTTATTTAAATTTTTTTTTAGATATGTACATTAACGGCCGTAACGATTAAATTCACTATATCAGTGCAAAATTAAGCAGTTTTAAATAAAATGTAGTTTTCATTCCGATTGATATTCTCTAACAGAGCTTAAATGGCTAATTTTCAATATTAGCTTCCTCTAAAGTACCTTTAATTTGTTTTATTTGAAACAATTGGCCATTTCACATTAATCTATAATATAAATGATAGTTGAATATAAAATATAAAAGAATTTAATAATTAACTAAAGGAGAAATAAGAGATCGGAACGGAGAATAGTTGTAATTGGGGAATAAAAGGAATACGAGCTAAACCGAATTCGCCCGAAGATTATAACTCGCTTTCATACGTAACATGAGCTTAATATAATACGAACTCTGACAATATTATATAAATATACATAAGCGGTTTTCATAAATGCGATTGTTGTTATTATTTAATATTTAATTGTATATATTACACCGATATAAATATTAAAATTTGTATATATAAGAGTAATTATAGAAATAAAAATAACCACAATGAAATATAAATAAATATAGCGTCTATAATTTTTATTTTCACTTCCCCTTTGTCGGAAAATACTTATTTCTGCTTAGAAGACGATGATAAGTGAAAGTTGTGTGGTGCGAGCGACGCATCAGATTTTTTTACTTAACATTGTTCAATTAACATAATGGACGATAATTGTAAAATATGTAGTTTCGAGGCATTTATTTAGGTTCATGGTTTCATATCTATCCAATAATTGGTTAAATCAGTAATAGCAAATCTGTATGAAACCGTAACGAATGTTACTATTATTCGTACATATTAAATATGATTTATTTGATCCAGTGTGGGTCAAAACGTGCAAAGTGGGTCGAAACGTCGGCAAAAATTAACATAATTAATATATTTTAATTTTTTTATTTATTTGACCGCACCCTCGACTAACTCCTTCTCATATGTTTTATTTTAATTGTTCCTACTACCAATCGATCATATCAGTATTTTTTTATAAACATTTAGAGAATAGTAGGAGGATTTTAGATGTTTTTATTATATGCATTGTTAAAAGAAACGAAAATCATATTCTTTTTTTTTTTTAATTTTTATCTAGTCGACTTGAAATATTTATAGTTTACTTATATCTTTATTATATTCATATCCATTATATGTTTCCAATATACAAGTAAAATTTGTCTAATTAAACTGTTTGAAGAAAAATATCCTCGTTTAATATGCTTTAAGTCAACATTAATTATTTTATTGTTAAAAAAAAAAGAAGTTTTCAATTCAAAAACAGCACCAACATTAAATTAAATTTTTTATTTCCTTGCTTTTTATATTGTTCATTAAGATTTTAAAGTACAAGAGAAGTTACACGAGCCATTTATTTTTCAAGGATTATTTCTAAATCAAGATTAATTTCAGACAAATCCTGGTAATTATTTAACGCTGAGGATCCGTGCGTGATATATATTAGAGTTATACATAACACCTGTAAAATAGGGAGTTGGGCACAGGTGCCTTGATGGCGGGAACGTTTTGACCATAATTTAGATTGGGAACTATTGGTTTGGAGAGGGGCATTCAGTCCGAAGCTCACTCTGATTTATACGTCATCGCTTTGATTCCTTTGATTATCGATCAAGCCCATTCAATGATCCTCTGTCAGATCGCGAATATATATAACGGGGGTATAATAACTAATAAAATATAGTTTTTACAAAAATTATTCCGATTAAATAGAAAAGAAAAAAAAATTAATTTTATCCTGGGACATTTAGTCTCTTAAGAATAATAACAATGAACGATATAAGTATCATTTTTCTGGCGTAAAATGAAAAGAAATAATTAAATTACCGAGGGATGTAATTTTATTAATTAATATAATTAATTACATTAAGAATTGAAATAATCATAAGCACAAGTAAACTAATAAAATTATAGAAGTTAGGCGGGGGTACGGTCAATATATAAAATACTATCTTCTTCTTTTTTTCTTTCTCTAGGAAGCTTCGGTTTATATTGTTAAGGTTAAGGCAATTAAACTTCCGTTTTTCATTTCATCTTTTTTTAACCACATCTGACGTTTCGGGATAATTTTCCCATCTTCAGAGATTCCTCGACTTTGTAATGTGGCACCAATTGTCGAAAATTACAATAACTGTCATATCAATTTTTATATAATACTTTTTTTGGTGTTACACATTCATTTTCTATTTATAACTATACCAACCAAAACTTGGTTATTTCAACTTCAATTCGAACTTGAAGAATGGGAAATGATCCCGAAACGTCAGATGTAGTAAAAAAAAAAGAAAGGAAAAATGGAAGTTTAATTGGCTTAACCTTAAAAATAAAATACTATATTATATAATAGAATATGTATTGCATTGTCCAACGTTTCGAAATATATTGTCGGTCTTCTTCTATATACTATAATATATAAGATACAGCAATATATATTAGTTATTTAATTATATATAAACAATACATATTAATTATAGAATGTTACAGTAAATGTTGTTTGTATCTTACATAGCCCTGAAGAAGATTATTTAATTATTTTATTTAATACTTTTAATTGAATGGAGTAAAATATCTTAGAAACAAAAATTCGGACCTGTAAGCGAGAGCAATGTTCAGCATTTCATCCTATTTATAATGAGCTATTATTTATAATTTCTATTTCATGTGCTACCATTGGGTATTTACTCAGCAAGTGTATTCATGTCATTATATTTATTATGTCCAAATTTACTTGATGTATTTATGTAATACAGTTGTAAATGTCATTAATAGATAAAAAAAATAAATATTTCATATTATTAATCTCGCCCAGTAAATGTTTTCACTTCTATCGTATGGTCTAAAGCACACGCATTAGTTTTTTGTTTTTTTTAAAGTTAGTAATGTTGAATGGATTAAGGCAGTGGATCAGCTGATGAGAAGGTTGTCTCCTCAACTCCTCTCTCAGTTTTTACCAATTTTATAGCGGAATATCTCTGATTATTCACGTGATACAGTTAAAGTGTATATCAGAGCAGTTGATATTTACTGTTGACATCTTTCTTTTTTTGTTATTTTAAGAAAAAAAAAAAAAAAAATTTTTTTTTTTTTTTTTTTTATTTATTTATTTATTTTTCTCTTATGATATGCGGTATGATCAGCAAGTGATGGCCAGTAAGGTGCCCAAGAGGTCTCGGTCAGACGGAGTTAGCTCACCAGCCAAACAAAGGACTCGTCGCTGCCTACGAGAAATACCTCCAGTGACCAAAATGAACACTTCAGAACCAGAACCTCAGCCCCAACCAGGTACGTCTGCACAAGAAACGATTGAAGAATCACCTTTCTTTACTCCAAACCCCTACCAAGTGCTTCAAAATGACAGAGAAGTAATGGAGTCTGCAGCAATACCCAGAGAACCAAAGCCTCCTCCGATATTTGTGAAAAATATAAAAAATTTCCAGATGTTCTGCACCCAACTAAATAAAATCTGCTCTGGCAGTTATTCATGCCTTAACAGAACCAATGACACCAAAATAACACCTGATTCTGCAGAAGCCTACCGAAAAATAGTGAAGTACTTATCAGAAACAAATGCGAATTTTCACACTTACCAGCTGAGGCAGGAAAGAGCTTTACGAGTAGTGATAAGAAATTTACATTCCTCAACCCCCACTGAAGTTATTAAAGAAGAACTAACGACGCTTGGTTTCAATGTACGCCAGGTAACAAACGTTTTGAAGGAGGACAGGGAGCAGCCAGGATTACGAAATAGGATCCCACTACCATTGTTTTTCGTGGACTTGGAGCCATCACCAGGTATCGAAAAAATATATGATATCACAAGAATATACTACACAATGGTGAAAGTTGAGAAGCCATATCCCAAGAGAGACATCGTGCAGTGCCATAATTGTCAGACCTATGGCCACACGAAGACATATTGCTACCATCTGCCGCGTTGCGTGAAGTGCGGTGAACAGCACAAATCTGTAGAGTGCACCAAACCTATACAAGATCCAGCAGTATGTGCCCTATGCTTGGAGGGACACCCGGCCAACTACAAAGGCTGCCAAATTTACAAGAATCTCAAAACCAGACACCAGAAAAACCGGATTCAAGATGAAGCACTAAGAACAAGAAGAGAGAGAGAGCCTTCCAGAATTGTAAACAATGATGTATCATTCTCCCAACTACTTAGAGGTAAGACTTTAACCGATAAATGTCAAGCCCTGCCACAACAACAACCTCAAACCCAACCTCAAAATCCTCTTCAGTCTAATATACCTAACCACCAACAACAAATTCCTCATATTCCTCCTCCTTCAAATGCAACAGATCTCACAAGTTTGTTAGCATCTTTCCTCACCGATTTCAAATCCCTTGTTACTCCACTCATATCACTCCTCACGAATCTCGTATCTCACCTCATCCCTCCTTTGAAAAATCCTTAAATGACTCACATCCCTAAACCCATATCCATTCTCCTTTGGAATGCGAATGGTGTTAGAAATCATACAGACGAACTATCTACTTTACTACTTGACAAGAACATTGATGTGGCACTAATTACTGAAACTCGACTAACCACTAAACAGCACTTCAATATACCACAATACCTGACATATCGTACTGACCACCCTGACGGAAAAGCACATGCCGGTACTGCTGTAATTGTACACCAATCCCTCTCCCATCACGTACTCCCATTACCAATACATGATTTCCTACAGTCCACCGTTATCGTGATAAAAACCTTCTCCTTTCCGGTCACTCTTGCATCAGCGTATTGCCCTCCTAACCGATCCATATCCAATGCCCAATTCAGTTCTCTCCTCGACTCCTTAGGACATCACTTCATCTTGGGTGCAGACCTAAATGCCAAGCACCAACAATGGGGTTCCAGAACCACGAATTCTCGTGGCCGAACCCTGCTGTCTGCACTCAATTCCCAAC